AAAACTCCAATAATGTAGCCCAAGGTGTAATAAAATTACCTAAAATATTCTTTACATCGCGTGCCCTGCGAAAACTATTGATGATAGAATAAAATAATGTACTACGACTTTGTAGAACACATTATTATTTACAAAGTGTCGCGACAGCATGTTCTGACTGTTATAGTTATGCCGCAATAAGTGTTCTTTTATTTAAAAAAATAAAACAACGTCAAATGTCGTTTACAGGGAAGCTCTGACTCAATAAACTCAATGGCTTTTCTTTTTTATGTATGATCTTTTTACGAAAATTAGAAAAATAGTAATATAAAAAAAATATAAAAAATATATAAATACAAACGGCCGTCTGATGTAGTGGTAAGAGACATGGTCACTACACAAGGGGGTCGCGGGTTCGAATCCCGCCAAGGGAAGATATTTGTATGATAAATATAAATGTCTTTTCCAGGGTTATGGATGTATATTAAATATATGTATGTGTATAATAAAAATCTTACATTTATATCCGTTATCTGGTACCTGTAACACAAGTTCTTTACGAACTTATCACGGGACCAGTTAAATGAAAATAAAAGTTCATTCAAATAATAATATTCAAACTATTTTTATAATTTTCTATTTTCCCCACGTTTTACATTTTTATATTTGCACACTTTTTATTCAAGTGAGAACATGATTAAAATTTAATAATACCTTTATTTATGTATTATGTCTCTGGCAAATAAATCATTTGAATTGAATTGAATATACCTCACTTTGATCGCTGCAGGACCTATTCATAACGCACTATACGTGGTGAGGGGACTGACTCCTTCTACGGTTTACGAGGCCCTAGTTGCATCCAGAAACAGGTAAACAGACACGCAGATTTATTGTTCTAACTTGATCATATGGCGCTTAAACTTATCACTGATAGATCCATTAGTGATTGATGACATACAGAAAAAAAAAAATATTTTTTTGAGTTGTTGATTTTTTAATACGAACCTACCGCCAATTATAGATTTTTATTGGTTTGAAGGTTGGATGAACTCACGGGTCACTTGGTGTTAAGTGGTTACCGAAGCCCATGGACAGCTACAACGTAAATGCCGCCACCCACCTTGAGATATGAGTTCTAAGGTCTCAGTATAGTTACAAAGGCTGCCCCGCTCTTCAAATCGAAACGCATTACTGCTTCACGGTAGAAATAGGCGGGGTAGTCGTACCTACCCGTGCGGATTCGCAAGACGTTCCACTACCAATTTAATTCTCGATGATCTGTTGGGTAATGTAAACAAATTTTTAAGGATGATTGAGGTTTATTGGCATAGTAGGCAGACAAGCGTACGGCTTGCCTGATGGTGAGTGGTTACCATCGCTCATGGGTCTCAAATATACACCCACACACAAGCCGATGTCTACTAATTTTTGTAACAACATATTTTAAGATATATGTATTTTTTAAGCTCTTTTTAAGAAAATCTGGGTGTATATTCTAGGTTTGGTTGGAGTAAGCTGTCGGCTGTTTTGCATTTCGCCACCGAACCTGGAGGTAAACTACGTTACGATGTATTTTTTTTATTTTTTTTAAACGATTTCAGTCGCAATTAACACAAAGTATGACGTTTAATAAAAACACACAAGCCGATAATGCTACGTATACTCCGCGCGCGAGCTCCGAGGATTCGGGGGCTGAGGAAGCGGGCGGGCGTGCACCGCGCCCGACCGTCGCTTCATACCCCGCACTCTCCCAGTACTAGTGTTGACCTTAACGTGAGAGTACGCTTACCGACTCGGTTGTTTTTAATTTTGCGATAGCAGTGTTAATTACGTATGATTTCTAATATAAATAGTCTTATAAGTCTTTTTGTTTGCACAAATAGCTATTTAATTTGATGAAAAAGGAATGGCGAGCACTAGCACAATAAACATGTCTTAGCATTAGAGGAATATTACTGGCAAAAGGATGGCTTAATGGAGGATGTTGTCGAATCATTTATTATTGAAGTATGTGAGGAGAGTGACATCAAGAGGAGAGTACATCAAATTCTTCAACTACTGATTAATCTGATTGCGAGAGTAATTAATAAGATTTCACGTTCATTTTGTTCAATAAAAATCAGTTCATTAAATGAAATTCATACGTGATCAATTGTTTTTTTTTTATTTCAAGTACATAATACCCTCATAAAACTATTTTATAATTTACACTCGCACGGAGGCTTAAGATTTGTTAGTATCGATAGCGCAATATCGACTAAACACAACACTAGCTCATTACGTCAACATTCCTTAAAAATCCTCGGAGCTCGCGCGCGGACAGTAACTTATCTTATTACCAATAACTATTTACTTCTGAATTATACGATTATTTTATAACCGTTTTCGACCGCATGAATAGCATTGGGCAACAACAGCGTTCGCACAAAATAACATTTAAACCCTGAATTTGCAGTAACAATTTCCAGATGTCATTATTTTTTTATCCAGCCAATTGTGTTTCAGATTCGAAAACCAATAAATCTCGATTCTTTTTTCAGTTGGCAACACTCCCTCCGTTGTCGACTACAGCGACATCTCGCCGATATTAGAAGACATCGAAACGGAACCACAGAACATCTCACAAGCTCAGATATTCGGAATTTACGATTTCGTTGATAATAATAATTGTAAGAGATCGTGTATCTCACAAACTTTGTTCGTCACAGCGCTATTATTGTTGTATTTTAAATTGTATGTGTAAATAAATATTTAAATAAATCTGTTCCGATTAAATTGTCTAATAAGTTTTTTTTTTGTCGTAAAAGTAAGTTTCCAATCCCGGAAAAAAAACTTTGGTAAGAATGTTAAAAATTACAATTTCAATAACTAAGGATCCGTCCTAGGTAGAGGAAGAATGTCCATCGAAAAGAAATTAAATATGGTGGCGCCACCGTAGCCAAATATAGCGCCAGAAGTTATTAGATACCTAAAATTAAGTCGGCCACTTCGATCCGTCTGCAATTGCTACATTCATTTACTCTATGTGCTTCACTAGCCCATACATCTAATATTTTGTTATTCATCACTTAACAAATTGGACTGGACGCGCGTCCCACTCATGTCAGTAAGGTTTGAATTAGTTTGAAAGTGTATCAACACTTGTTTATGAGACACTCATTCTTTGTTGTATTCAATGTAAATAATATAATATAGTTTCAATAAATTATTTAGATACGTATTGGATATTTTTTCCGCATTTTTACATTCCCTAAGTGTCTTCAATTTGGAATATTTTTTTATTACCCACATTGGCAGATGAATATACGGTACACCAGGTGGTGAGTGGTTACCGCTGATCATGCATGGATCATCAGTAATGTCGGAGTCCCCTGCCTATTTCTACCGTGAAGCAGTAATGCGTTTCGGTCTGAAAGGTAGGGCAGCCGTTGTAACTATACTGAGATCTTAGAACTTATATCTCAAGGTGGATGGCGCATTTACGTTGTAGATGTCTATGGGCTCCAGTAACCACTTTACACCAGGTGGGCTGTGAGCTCGTCCATCCATATAAGCAATAAAAAATAAATAAAAAAAGGATCCCCGAGAATCGGGATTATCGACAATCCGAACAGCCCGTCTCTGTATGGAGTCAAATCGATGTTGCTGGTATTTGGGAGCCCCAGCCCAGAGGTGGGAGCAGTACTCCACGCGAGGTCGGACTTGCATTTGTAAAGCAAGTATTTGTCAAGGCGTTTCGTTCTATTGAGGATTCTCAGCATTTTTGGCGACAACTTGGCTTTCATCTCCAAATTCCGTCAATGCCGTGAATGCCAACACCCGTGGAACGTTGCAGGGATACACCTCGGAATTGCGGCATTATGACCAAAGGGTCTATCTTCGCACTGAACGAACCAATCGTTGTATTCAACTAAACATAATTAACTTCAAACGAAGACCCGCACCAGAGATTTCTTAGTTCAGTCACAAGTTTTGATCGACCTTCCTGCACCACACTTCGTGAGGCTCTAAGGGCCGATTTATTGCGCATCGCTCGTGCTGTCTGTATAGCAATACTTGTCATTAATATATAGCATAGTGGCTCCCCCACATCGAACATCTGCGATGTTACGCCCATCCAAGAAGCTAGCCATCCATTTGCAGTCCTGTGGGGATTCCGCAAGCCGGTAACTTCAACAGAAGTACCTTATGCCAGACCTTCTTGAAGATTTTCGAAATATCCAAGCTCACAGTAAGAGCTTCCCCTAGAATTTCTTTTAACCTATAATATCAATTGGCTGATGTCACGTAGTCTCAAAAGTTCTTTCCTCGATTTTTGGACGCCATTGTATCTCCGAATATTAATTATATATATATATATATATATATATACGTACATTCAACTAACGAGGCAAAAAAAAAACAAGAAATGCCAAATAAAAATCGCCATTGAATACTGAATCAATTTTATTAACTCGACCACACTCAGTTTTGTATTAAAGTCAACTACAGACCGATTGATTATTTATAAGTCTCTTCATATTTCTTTTATAGTTTGTAATCCATTCACACCTTAGATTTAAACATCGACCATAAATACGTATTATTGTATTGAGAAGAAAAAAACCAAAAAAAAAACATACACGGAGATGTTTCAGACGAAAACGGTTCAAGTTGGGATCAAAAGATGCAACGCTGCTAGCTAATTTTTTAAACTTCGAACCCGAATTGGGTGACGTCTGTCAAATTGACAGTGACGTTTCAAAGACAACTGACGTACGCGCGTTCGATGACACTTTTTTTCGCCGCCACACGATAACTGTGACGACGAAAAACGAAAATACAAAATCGCTCTAGACGTTATAAGTGAGCCCGTTCAAATAAGTCAGGGGATTTTGTATTTTATTCCTTTTAACTTAATACTGATTTTCGATATGAACTTTGAATTGAGCGTGGTACCTTGAGATGTTACGTGAGCCGATTTCGTCGAACGAGAAAGATTTAACGAAATTTGGTCTTTTCATTATATTTTTTTTTTAAAATTACAATACTGAATTTACGACTAGACTTCTAATGAGTCTTTGCACCGCGCTGTTTGACTTTGATTTTATTCAATATCACCTCCATTAATGGGACTATTGATTTGTCGTGAAGCCGACATCAAGCTACTTTTAAATCGGCAATGGCAAAACTGTTAGACCATCTTCAATCGTTTCAGTGATTATCCAATTTACCTGCAGCAATAATTTCGTAACAGCGCTGTACAAAGACACCTAAATTTGAAACAAATTTTACAATGATCTTACCACGCTACTAAACATGTACAAGTGTATTTTTAACACTTTTTTTTTAAAATACTATATTCACTAATTTTTACTAAACCTCAATTGCTGTTGATCTCATTATAACGAATAATGGAAACGCACAACTACAAATCGATTATGTATTCACAAGTGACATTACAATAAGTTATTTTTTTCTTTAAACATTATTAATATTATTAAAAATTACACAACGACCAATCAAAAAATAGGTAACATTATTACCCGTATCAGAACTATAAAGTTAAATACAAATTAAGATTGTTGTAACTTTGAATCATGGAACTCTAGTTGTTATGACGTTTAGACTTGTCAAGCTATGATTTTTTTTTTTTTTCAATACATACATACAGCAAGCGTGTTAATTGTCAGAAGTCACGAAATACTAGCTTTAATTTCGTAAAAATATAATCTGCGACAACCCTCGTCTCGCCATGAAGCAAAAACAATTCAGAGATATGTCAAATTTTACTTTACAATTTTAAAACTCGGAATTGCGTTTTAAAATGATTTTTTTTAAATAGCACAATAATAATCTCATTGGAATGCAATCATTAACAAACAAGTAACACCATTTCTAATTAGTAAATAAATAAGGTAATCTAGATAAATGCAGATGTTACAAACAAAAAAAAATTACATTGACACATGTCAAAAGACAAAACCACAGATAAAATCAGATCTTAATGTTGCAATAAAAATATAAATAAAATAAATCAGATCTTTAAGCCTAAGACTTGAGGTGGGTATTGATTGTGTATTTGTAATGGAAGACTTAAAAATTATGAAAATTATCAGTTATAAATATTGATAAATTAATGGCACTTAAAATCTGATCGTAATTAAAAAATGGTAGATAAATTCTATTTATGTTGATAAGCAATCGTTGCTGTCTCGTTCTGTGTACATTACAGCGAGAGAGACAACATATTTTATGGATTTTTCATACAGTGATTTGTTTATTCAAGTCTTATCTCAACATAATTTATAAGAGGGGACTGTCAAATTGTTAATAATAATGCCGGTGGGATGTAGTACGCAATGATTAGTTATCAAGAAGCCTCATTATAATACAAAATCTTAGTAAATTTATTACTAATTTTATTTATGCACAAATCGTGATGTACGTTGATAACTTCATAAACTTTGAAGTTTAATTATTAAGTTTATTAAAATAAAAAACACAGTTATTTGAATACACTTAATGTTAAAGACATTTATATTAATTTTACAAGGTTCCCATGCATTTACTCAGCTTAAGATTTCACTTGAACTTATTCAAGTTAGCCGAGAAATTGCAGGCTGAAAAAGTCTTATGTCTAACCACGGATAATTACGAAAGTCTTTGACAAGAATATAATAAATAACCCAATTCAATAATTGGTTAAAAGTATTTTCTTCTTTAAATATTTAATTTACATTAAGCACTCAAGTGTCCGATCACTATGCCAATGTTGTCATCACCCAAAAATTGTCCATTCACCACTGGTCACACAGTCTTGAAACATTGATGTAATTTTTTTATTATTATATTAAACTTCAATTTCATCACACTTATTCACACCATTTCTCTTCTATTGAATACAGACACCTATTACGTTTTTTTTAAATCAGATTTAATTTTATTATTATCGTTTGGTCAAATGTTTTTACCGTGTTACGTGTGATACGGGAAGTTTTTTAGTATTTTAATAATTATTATTTTAAAATTTCGTCGCTACGTACTAGTAATAATTTAACATTTATATAAATTAGTTTTCAACTAATGTTAATATTTAAACACTTGTACGCATCATTAGATGCAATTATATGAATCTTAAAAAAATTAACAAAAGAATGCTGACCGTGCAGCTATACTTTGCTTCATATTTACATTTAATTCCATGTCTTCTTCTTTTTTTGAAGTAACATTTGTCAATTACATAAAAACGAACATTGTAATCTTTAAAAACACTCGCATACAATTGCTCGACCTACGTTTCTGGCAACATTATTCGGTCACATTGTTTTCCTTAACATTTAAATTCTGATATTAATTTAGCTAAACTAACACGAATGACAGGTTAATATAGCTAGGAAAATGCGGATGTGCGTATTGTGTGATGTACCCAACTATGAAAATTGATTTACATTTTATTTCATCAGTGCGTTTATCTCTTTTCGTTACTTTAAATATATATTTTAAGTATTATGGCAGTATTATTTTTTAGCACTGAGATCGAATCACGACACGATCTTGCTGTCATCTCACGCATCCTGATGAACATTATATAATTAATTGTAAAAATCTCATTTAAAATTCATTAGTTTGACACAGATCTATTAAATACCATTCCGTGCGCAACGACGTCTTCTTTACTTAATCAGAAGGAAACATATAATTAGTACAACCTGTTTTTTTTTGTTTACACATAGCTCGATCACCTTTATTTTTGCCACATAAACTTTACGGTGTATATTATATGGAAACGTGGCGTCAAAAACAAATTAACCTTGCCCGTTGTCTGATGCATAAAAGCAACGATGTCGCCAGTAGCGTCCGATCAAATACTTTATCATTGCAGCCCTCATCAAATACACGGGCACACAAATGCCGCAATCAATTAACTGTCCTTTCTTGGGCATTTTTAATGGGTGTTTCATTTTCATTATGACTTGCCGATACTGTCAGTATCGGGCATGACACCAAAACACTATTTCACTATAAACAGACAGGTTACAACAAAATGAAGTCGACGACGTCACAAACACTTTGTATCGCACGAAACACTTTCACAAATCGATGAGCCTATTTCTCTTCCACAAAAGCTCCAGGGGGACAATTTCTTCTCATATGTCGTTGAGGTCGACGCTCTCTCGCTCCAAGGTGTAGTCCTGCAGACTTCAATTCTCCCTCAACAGCTGCGCCCGCTGGCGTTGACAGTCGATTGGGTCGGGCGGGTTGCGGGCGGGTTCTGTGACGTCACATGTGAGGGTTGGCGGCGCGTCGATGACGTCACGGGGGCCGCGTTTGATGAGCGGCGTCGCCTTGTACGCGTCCCGCGCGCGGATGTTGGCGTGTGCGTGCGTGTGTGCGGGCGCGTGCTGTCCGCCCGCCACGTGTGCGGCGCGCGCTGCTCGGTGGAAGCACTTGAGCGGCACGTAGCACCACAGGCACGGGATCAATACGCTCAGGAGTGTGATGCCGAGCCACCTATTTCACAAACAGAGTTATGTAATACAGACTTTTTTTGTATGTCAGTGACAAGTCGTTGCGGCCTAAAGGATAACACGTCCAGTGCATTCGTGTTGAGCGATGCACCGGTGTTCGAATCCCGCAGGCGGATACCAATTTTTCTAATGAAATACGTACTCAACAAATGCTCACGATTGACTTCCACGGTGAAGGAATAACATCGTGTAATAAAAATCAAACCCGCAAAATTATAATTTGGGTAATTATTGGTGGTAGGACCTCTTGTGAGTCCGCGCGGGTAGGTACACCACCACCCTGCCTATTTCTGCCGTAAAGCGGTTTGAAGGGCGGGGCAGCCGTTGTAACTATACTGAGACCTTAGAACTCATATCTCAAGGTGGGTGGCGCATTTACGTTGTGGATGTCTATGGACTCCAGTAACCACTTAACACCAGTTGGCCTGTGAGCTCGGTTTATCGTATATTTTATGCATAATTAAAAAAAAAAAAAAACATTCTGCACTCCTTCCCTATATTCTATATAAGTGTGGGAAATTTCATAGACCTCCGTACGCCCAATTTTCGTAAACAGGGGTACAAAGTTTTTGCTTCTCCTATTAATATATAGATTGATGCACAATGTTACACCGGCTATGTGCTTGGTCATAGTGTATTACCTTAGAACGCATTCTCTGTGCGGTTGTGCGCAGGCGCAGGGTTGAGACGCGTTTTCCCCCTCCGGCTCTGAGATGCAGTGATACACGAAGCACTATAAATAAATTAAAATTCTCTTTAGTTACCTCAATACACTATTTCATGGGATTTGTATTTTTTTTAAATGCTTAGATAGGTGGACGAGCTCACGGCCCACCTGGTTTTAAGTGGTTACTGGAGCCCATAGACATCTATAACGTAAATGCACCACCCACCTGGAGATATAAGTTCTAAGGTATCAGTATAGTTACAACGACTGACCCACCCTTCAAACCGAAACGCTGCTTCACGACAGAAATAGGCAGGGCGGTGGTACCTACCCGTGCGGACTCACAAGAGGTCCTACCACCAGTAATTACGAAAATTATAATTTTGCTATTTTGATTTTTGTTACACGATGTTATTTCTTTCACCGTGGAAGTCAATCTGCAAAAATGCATGCAATCCACCAAATGTAAGATGACTAGTGTAGGCTATGTAGCATCCAGCAATCCATCCAGCAATAGCGGATGCAGAACCCAGTCACTATCTACCACGAATACACAAATTTACAATTTCCTTCACATTGCTACAAGAAACAATAATTCTTGAATGATTTTATAATAGTTTAGTTAGAGTATTTTATTTATTGAAACATTTCCAATAAGGCCATGTTATGTCGGTAGCTCTTCTAAAATTAAAAGCGAAATAGACAGTGTCATTTATCGTTAATAGCTATAGATTCCGGTAACCACACCGAGTGTGAATTGAATATATGGGCCGATGAGTTTAATGATGAAGTCAATAAGAAACCCAACCAATACCTGTGCACAAGCGATGCAGGAGACCTTATCGACAAAAGTCCTACAGCAGTCCGGAGCATATTCACATGAACCAGCTCGGTTAGCACTCTCCAGGTACCACTCGTGACAGTGCCTGGAAAACAAACATTCGATTGAACGTTACAATCACTTTTAGATTCATATTACAATGATTATAGGAAATGTTCATTACAAAAACATTTCTTACATAGTAAGAATTATCTCTACATATGTACTGAAATAATGGATGGATGTAATTATTGTATTGTCATTAGATCTACCCAAATTGGCAAGTTTCATGTTCGTGAGGAAATAAGTAAAATAATAATCGAATACAACATTTTTATGTATCTAAAGTGTCACAATATAAATTATATATATATTTTTTTTATTGCGCTTGTAGGCAGACGAACATACGGCCCACCTGATGGTGAGTGGTTACCGTCGCCCATGGACTTCAGGAGCCTCTGCCAGGAGCAGAGCCCAGCCGCTGCCTACCGTTTAATATGAGCAAAAGTAAGTATTGCACCAGACAAACGTATGAAGATTTGTATAGATTAAAGTAGAAAGTATGAAAATTTTAATTAATTTTTTTGGAATTTTGAGGGTATGATGATGTGAATAATTTACTGACTTGCACTTGAGCCTCGCTTGGAACGTTTCAGCTGGTTTCTTGTCAGGCAGCGGAGGCGGACCACTGTACGAACATTTCTTTATGGAACCTAAACACAATTACAATAGTATCAACTTCTCCTGATCCATTAACGCTGCTTTTAGGCACCACAAGCACCGGTCACCGTCCTCCGTCCGAATTAACCCACAGACACAGCTCATTGAGTTTCTCGCCGGATCTTCTCAGTGGGTCGCGTTTCCGATCCGGTGGTAGATTCCGCGAAGCACGGCTCTTGCTAGGGCCAGTGTTAGCAACACTCCGGTTTGAGCCCCGTGAGCTCACCTACATGTTAGGGTGAAGCTGAAATAGCCTCCCAAGGCTATCAGCATACGTAGAGAAAAAAAAATCAACTTAGATGCTTCTTCAAAACGATTTCATCGACGTCCATATTGACAATATCAACACACTCGAGTAACTCAATCTTTGGAGAGAAATTCTGAGAACTTTTAAAGCGTTTTTTTTAAAGTAAACATACATCGACAGGTGAAATGCTATTATTGCATTTAAAGTTAAAAATTAGAAAATATATCATAACAAAAAAACTTCTTCAGTTATTTGAATGAACATAATTGAAGTTCAATTAAAAACATCGAACTGTTGATGCTGATACCAAATAAAAAGCACATTTATGTAACTACAAAGATAAATGTCGCTTAAAGCAAATAGCATATCACGTCTCGATACATTGATTGAAGGGTTTCGAACCTGAATCCCTCTTTAGCAGCGGCGGTTTCGTGTTGGGTGATGACTTCTCTGAGCTGATGATGCCGCCCGGACCGACTTGAGGGTACGTGTACTCGTGGACCTGGCACGTGCAAACATCAATGAATATTTATATATACGTCACGATCATGCGATTCGGTTCGAAGGACCAAGCTGTGGTACAATGTTATCGAGGATAAACCTTCACGTCTTAAAATGAACTGTGAGCTCAACGGCTCGTCTGTTTTATTTATTGCATAGATAAGTCGACGAGCTCAGCCCACCTGGTGTTAGGTGGTTACCGGAGCCCATGGACATCTACAAGGTAAATGCCGCCACCCACCTTGAGATATGAGTTCTAAGGTCTCACTATAGTTACAACGACTTGCCCCACCCTTTGATTGATTGACGCCCCACCCTTCAAACCGAAACGCATTACTGCTTCACGCCAGAAATAGGCGGGGTGGTGGTACCCGTCCATCCATCCATTTCTTCTTAGGTCTACCTCTTTCTCTATATGCTTCTACATTCATAGTTAACATTCTCTTACCAACCTCATTTTCATTTTGTCTCATCACATGTCCATACCATCCCAAACGCGCACTTCTCGATATCTCTGTCACAGGTGCCACTTTCAGACTTCCTCTAACATATTCATTCCGTATTCTATCCATTCTCGTTACTCCACAAATCCATCGCAACATTTGCATCTCTGCATATGATCAGTCCTAACTAAGTCATGTTAAAATTGTACAATATTCAATGACAATTTAATTTAAAACAAATCAAAAAGCCTACAATTTTTTTCAGACGCTAAAGACTCCTTTGAACGTAATAGTAAGGACTGATGATTTATGAGACATTAATGCTCATTAATTTGATACTCACAGTGGACAGGTGCACGTAGTGGCAGCGCTCCGGGTCTTCGTCCAGGCCCAGCTTATCCTCATACTGCACTTCATATTGTTTCATGGAATCTAAAATTATAGATTGATTTTAATAGAGGGGGTATACGCTTTGGTCCTAGTGACGTCATTGGGGGGTCAAAATTAATACACAATAATTAGTTTAGTATTTAGTGTTATCTTAATACACATCCATTAGCCACATGTGACGTCATGTACTGTGATTGGACTTTAGATTGCTGTCGTTGTTTTTTTTAAATTAATAGATTCAACTCTGTGACATAAATTTAAAATAATTTATTAATGATTTAAAAAAAATATATATAATAATATATTTTTAACAATTTTTTAAGGGATTTTATGACCTGGTAACTAAGACCTTTAAGTCATGCCTTATTTTAATTGTTATTCTTATTTTTATGAAAAATTATAATATGGAGTGAAATGAAATGAAGATTAATTTGAGACATTGATCAACTGGGATAAAATGAAATGAGATGAAATGTTATGGGATAATCTCAGTAAAATGGTGGTCATTTACTGAGGTTTTTTTCAGTGGACTTTTTGGAGTATCCCGCGAAGTTACGTTCAGCAGCTTTGTTTCATTTTCCCACATTTGTGCATTTTCACAGATATTAAACAGTTAATAAGCCACCGTTATTACACATTTAAACCTGGAGAAACACAAAATAGACAAAATAAAACAAATCACAAAACTTCACTCCTTCGGCTCCCGCCAAAAAGTCAGTATTTAACAAAAATAGATTAACGTATTAATTAGTATGTATTGAAATAATTTGAATAAGTAAAAAAAAAAGTATCTGGCGATTTAGTATAGAATAATTATATCGAGGTTTGAAAGACTACTTGGTTTAAAGGCCATCTATCTATCTTTGTAATTAAAAGTGCGTTTTATTTCATATTAGCATCAACAGTTCGATGTTTTTAATTTAACTTCAATTAAGTTTACCCAATTCAAAAAGCTGAAGTTTTTTTTGTTATGATATTATTAGGAAATTTTAAACTTTAAATGGCTCTCCTGTAAAATTGCAAAAATGTCGCTTAAGCCAAATTTCGCATAAACCGTTCTTCACCCCTAGTTATGAAGAGACATTGTAACATATACCACTACTAACGCCATCTAACGGTCGTGATGTAAAGTAAAAGGAATTGTGAAAGAATCCTGTAGGCGACTTCCTAGGAAGCCTCTACGAATCAAAGTCACGTGTCAAACACAATTGGTATCTATTAAATGAATGTGAAGCAAAAACTTTGTACCACCTTATTACGAAAATTGCGCGGACGGAGTAGTATGAAATTTACCACTCATAGAGATTATAGAGGAGTTACGTGTTGTGAGTCCGCATGGGTAGGTACCACCACCCTGCCCATTTCTGCCCATTTCTGAAGCAGTAATGCGTTTCGGTTTGAAGGGTGGGGGGCAGCCGTTGTAACTATACATGAGACCTTAGAACTTATATCTCAAGGTGGGTGGCGCATTTACGTTGTAGATGTCTATGGGCTCCAGTAACCACTTAACACCAGGTGGGCTGTGAGCTCGTCCACCCATCAGAGCAATAAAAAAAAAAGCGTGGTGCTCACCATGCGTCGGCAGCGTGATGGCGGACAGTATGGGGGTCTGGATGAGGTCGTCGCGGCGGCGCGCGCGGGACGCCGTCGAGTTCTCGCTGCTAGACAACGAGTCCGTGGGCAGGTTGAGACACTGCAACACAGGAAACGGGTTGGTCGCGGCCGTGACGTCACACCGAGCCCGGCGCACAGCAAACTGGTTGGTCGCGGCCGTGACGTCACACCGAGCCCAGCGCACGGGTAGGTTGTGGCAGTGACGTCACACCGAGCCTGGCGCACAGCAAACGGGTTGGTCGCGGCCGTGACGTCACACCGAGCCCAGCACACGGGTAGGTCGTGGCAGTGACGTCACACCGAGCCCAGCGCACAGCAAACGGGTTGGTCGCGGCCGTGACGTCACACCGAGCCCTCATACGTCACGTAGTTCGTACGAACCTCGAAAATGTTGTTCTCCTCGTCCTCTACCTTGGGCTCTGTTTTGTATTTTTTGTATGTGTGCACCGTTGGCCACGCCCCGCCAAAACCTGCAAAGAAAACACGGTCGTTATGATACATTGGCGTAAAGACGAAAATGCAATTCGAAAAACAAAATAGGCAAATACGTCTTTTTAGAAACGAGAGTAATTGTTTTTTTTTAGCGGACCACTTGGAACCGCTGTGTAATATAGCAGAATCCATCGTTTATTGTAATTAGTGCGAGTTATTTAACGTTCTCGATAGCGTAAAAGTTAACTCGACTTTGGAGTTGGAACAGCGCCCCTAGCGGCAAACGTTGGCAAATGTTATTAACGAGAACGTTAAAAAACTCGCACTAAGCACATTGATGTGTCATTCGGTGCTGGAGTGAACTCTTTAAGGTCATGACGTGCTGCTTCCACCAGCGGCTCGTCTATTGGTGATGTCCATGAGCTACTGTGATCACTAACCAACAGATGGGCCATATGCTTGTATCCTCGTGTCACGACCGGGAACCTTGAGATTAAACCTAGTTGGTCATTGTCAATGACATTCACTAATGCCTCACGAGGTAATGATTGGATTCTCGAACAATATAATATTATATTTATATATTTATTCGCATATTTTGCGTCTAAAGTTTCATAAATGCGTTCTTTCTCTAACCGGTTATCTGGAGGTGATTGCTTTTAAGATTAAGAACGCCCCTGCACTTTTATTTGTCGCTTAGATTGGTGGACCAGCTCACGGCCCAACTGGCGTTATATGGTTACCAGAACCCATAGACATATACAACATAAATGCCGCCACCCACCTCGAGACATGAGTTCTATGGTCTCAGTTTTCGCAATAGAACGATTGCCCTACCCTTCAAACCGAAACGCGGCAGTCACGGCAGAAATAGGCAGGATGATATTGTGTTATATACGTTAATATCACCATTTATCTACAACGAAGGCGTTAGTTAATTCAAAATTTCGGTATCGCATGAGTACATTTCCAATGTCACACGAGAAAATCCAAGTTTTTTGGGGCGATAGTGCAACATTGCCCTACAGACATTCCCGAGTCAGTTTTTAACCGCCACGTATAGCCGTGGAAACTTATATTCTTCCTAGTCGTACACTCTTGAGAGAGTGGTCATGGTTATGCATCAGTCAAATCCTGCGATACTGATGCTCTCCGGATGCGACGCTATACGGCACGATGTTTCGCAGAGTGAGAGCAATCATTTACGTTGGAGTGAGTCACAAATTTTATGAGGTCGGTCGTCCGCGAGATCTTTCGCCCTCGACTTTCCCTTGCACCACCAACCGCTCTATGGAGTCCTCATTACGAGCGGTTGAAACTTATATACTTAGTCGAAAAACGTCCTACGATCTATATCGCGCAAACGAATCTACTTTCAACTTTATTGCTAAGAACTTAAGGTGGTTGAAGACTCACCGTGCCCGTGCAGGAATCCAGTATACGATAGAGAAGCAGAAGAAAACACATTAGATAAATTAGTTCAGCGATTTTATTTTACAAACTCTTGTGGCCGCGGTTTTTTTGTCTTTTTTTTCCCTACCTATGCTGATAGCCTTGAGAGGCTCTTTCAGCTTCACCCTAACGTGTGTAAGTGAGCTCACGGGGCTCAAACCTGACGACGTTGCTGACACGAACCCGAGCGAGAGCCGTGCTTCGCAGAATCTACCACGGGTACGGAAACGCGACCCACTGAGAAGATCCGGCGAGAAACTCTGTGGGCTGTGTCTGTAGGTTACTTTACTCGTAGAGCCCTTCGTCGCAAGCGACGGGTTCGTAAAGCTGCAAAAATTACGCTTAAACCAAATAAGCTTTCATCTCTCGATATCATTTCCGAGGTTTCTTCTTTAGTCGACGGTGACCACGAAAACTTATAATAAAAATACGCAAAATTAAACCGTAATAGTGGTCTTGTTAATAATATATCCTAATTTGCAGTTACTGAATACCTTTGCGACCAAAACTGACAATAAAATCTAATTTTCAGGAATTCACAGTAATAAATTTAGACACACTGTTGCCAGAATTTAATATTTAAAAGTTTGTGACGACTAAAAAGGCCACTACCAAACATCCAGGTAGAAAGACTTTAACCTATTTGGAGGAATTCGAAAAATGCAATGAAAAAGGAAACCTATGGAAATGAAACGTCAACCAAAATTTCGTGCCACTGTGACGTCATCTGGCCACAAAACATGGCGGCTTTAGTGCTGTACAAAAGATTTCAATGTTATCAGGTTTTATCGATAAACGTTCTTGGCTCATTTTATTTTAAATATTGTTGAGTATTATTTATTTGTAGAATTTATACTTTAATGGGAAGTANCTGGCAAGATGTAAGAACCATTAAAACTGTCCGGCTATTGGGGTAACATATTTTTATAAGTCCCTAAGTAACATATATAAAATTTAGCTTTTATAGTATAACGAAAGTATAATTAAAATTTATTAAAGTTTAGGGGTGTCTGGCAGGGGGTAACAACTGGAAAAAGTGTCCGGCAACGGATATCATGATTTCTAAAGATATTCTGGAGCAAATATTAAAAAAAAAACCTTTATACTTTAACGAATTTAAGGTACTATTTTATATACCTTTACTGCCTGTTACCTGCCCAAGTAACCACAATCGAAACTCTATAATCGCGGGTCGTTCTTACCTGTGTTGGAGACATACACAGAGAAATTTTCAGCTTTTATAAAATAACGAAGGTCTGGCTGTCGCGGGCTCTTGGGCCATAACCAGTTATCTGGAGGTGATTGCTTTTAAGATTAAGAACGCCCCTGCACTTTTATTTGTCGCTTAGATTGGTGGACCAGCTCACGGCCCAACTGGCGTTATATGGTTACCAGAGCCCATAGACATATACAACGATTGCTCTACCCTTCAAACCGAAACGCGGCAGTCACGGCAGAAATAGGCAGGATGATATTGTGTTATATACGTTAATATCGCCATTTATCTACAACCACGGCGTTAGTTAATTAAAAATTCCGGTATCGCATATGAATATTCCAATGTCACACGAGAAAATCCAAGTTTGACGGCGATAGTGCAACAGTGCTCTAAAGAAATTCCCGAGTCAGTTTTTAGCTGCCACGTATGTATAACCACGGAAACTTATATTCTTCCTAGTCGTATACTCTTGACAGAGTCGTCGTGATCATGCATCAGTCGAATCCTACGATACCCATGCTCTCGCGATGATACGCCATGCGGCACGATGTTTCGCAGAGTGAGAGCAATCATTTACGTTGGAGTGAGTCACAAATTTTATGAGGTCGGTCGTCCGCGAGATCTTTCGCCCTCGACTTTCCCTTGCACCACCAACCGATCTATGGATTCCTCATTACGAGCGGTTGAAACTTATATACTTAGTCGTAAAACGTCCTACGATCTATATCGCGCAAACGAATCTACTTTCAACTTTATTGCTAAGAAATTAAGGTGGTTGAAGACTCACCGTGCCCGTGCAGGAATCCAGTATACGATAGAGAAGCAGAAGAAAACACATTAGATAAATTAGTTCAGCGATTTTATTTTAAAATCTCTTGTGGCCGCGGTTTTTTTTTCTTTTTTTTTTCCCTACCTATGCTGATAGCCTTGAGAGGCTATTTCAGCTTCACTCTAACATGTAGGTGAGCTCACGGGGCTCAAACCTGACGACGTTGCTAACACAAACTCTAGCGAGAGCCGTGCTTCGCAGAATCTACCGCCGGATCGGAAACGCGACCCACTGAGAAGATCCGGCGAGAAACTCAGTGGTCTGTGTTTGTGGGTTACTTTACTCGTCGAGCCCTTCGTCGGCGACGGGTTCGTATAGCTGCAAAAATGTCGCTTAAACCAAATAAGCTTTTACCCCTCAATATCATTTCCGAGGTTTCTTTAGTTGACGGTGACCACGAAAACTTATAATAAAAATACGCGAAATTAAACCGTAATAGTGGTCTTGTTAATAATATATCCTAATTTGCAGATACTAAATACCTTTGCGACCAAAACTGACAATAAAATCTAATTTCCAGGAATTCACAGTAATAAATTTAGACACAGTGTTGCCAGAATTTAATATTTAAAAGTTTGTGACGACTAAAAAGGCCACTACCAAACATCCAGGTAGAAAGACTTTAACCTATTTGGAGGAATTCGAAAAAGGTAATAATGACAGATGACAGTGACAAGGAGAGAGAAAAAAAAACATGCAAAGGGAGTTTATGAAACTGATCGAGACGTTAATATAAATGTATTTTTCCCCTGCTTATTTGCTGTTAGACTAAGGGCTATTTCAGCTGTGTTATGGTTCGTAGACGACCTCTTGGGACTCTACCTGAGAGTTTGCTAACCCTGGCCCTAGCAAGAGCAGTGCTTCGCTGAATCCACCACTGGTACGGAATCTCATGTAAACACTACATAGATAAGCATGTTAGATTAAATAAACCCTACGTGGTAGATAATTGAGTTCAAATTAAAATTTTTAAAACGCAGGCTTCGGTATGCACGATGTGAGAAGGAAGCTATGTGCTGTGAAGAGATTCAATGGTCCAAGTAAAAATATATGTCTAAATAGGATAATCCAGTTTATTCTGAGCTCAGGGCCAGAATACCAGTTAGTTAGGCACTGCTGGTAGGACCTCTTGTGAGTCCGCACGGGTAGGTACCACCACCTTGCCTATTTCTGCCGTGAAGCAGTAATGCGTTTCGGTTTGGATGGTAGGGTTGTAATTATACTGAGACCTAAGAACTTATATCTCAAAGTGGGTGGCGCATTTACGTTGCAGATGTCTATGGGCTCCAGTAACCACTTAACATCAGGTGGACTTTGAGGTCGTCCATCCATATATGCATTAAAATAATAATATAAAAAATTTGTTGTGTCAGCCCTATTATGAGATTTCTCGGCCGTCGTTGATTCGTATCACCAGTAAAACCTTTCAAGGTTTCAAAAAGCCAATTTTAACGCGATCCCTAGTTTATGTTTGTGATTAAGCAAATTACCGTCTAAGAGTTCCTCGACCGCGGTCCTGACGCCCTTGTCGAACGCCCTGGCGTCAGCCGCTGTCTGAAACGTCAAGCCGAAGCGCTTCTCATCAGTGAACCAGTGGTGGAACGTCGGCATCACCTTGTTGTACTGGAAGTCCTTCTTGATTGTGCACTCTAGAACGACCTGTGGATGATGGAGAGGAAAATTTAATTCTAGAAATAGGGGAAAGCCGTGGTGAAAGGCGCTATTTGAGACCGCACCGATAGGTATCACCGTTCTGTCTATATCGGCCGCCAAGCAGTAATGCGTTTAAGTTTGATAGGTCGAGACTTAGAAATCGTGTCTTAAATATGGGCGGCGGCGTTTACATTATTTTTTTTCTTTTTTTTCTTTTATTGCTTAGATGGGTGGACGAGCTCACAGCCCACCTGGTGTTAAGTGGTTATTGGAGCCCATAGACATCTACGACGTAAATGCGCCACACACCTTGAGATATGAGTTCTAAGGTCTCAATATAGTTACAACGGCTACCCCCGCTTCAAACCGAAACGCACTGCTTCACGGCAGAAATAGGCGGGTTGGTGGTACCTACCCGTGCGGACTCACAATACGTCCTACCACCAGTAATTACGCAAATTATAATTTTGCGGGTTTGATTTTTATTACGCGGTGCTATTCCTTCACCGTGGAAGTCAATCGTGAACGTTTGTTAAGTACGTATTTCATTAGATAAATTGGTACCCGCCTGCGTGATTCGAACACCGGTTGTATGGCTAGATACGAATGCACCGGACGTCTTATCCTTTAGGCCACGACGACTGCAAATTAAAAGAAAAGCACAACAGAAAGAACAGGAAAAGTCCTTCTTTGTGGCACATTGCGAAGCATATATCACACCTTTAGAATTATAGAGAGCCAACTCAAAAGATGTGTTTTTTTGGAAAACATCGAATAAAGTTTTCAAACCGAAAAGACGTAGAGGTGGGGGAAGGAGTGAAAGAGATCGATAGATAAGTTTGTCCCTTTATAAGCTACTTTTGGTCATTTGATTATTAAGTCGCTGAAAAAGGTGGTTCTAGGTAAAATTTTAAATTAAAAATAGGCCTCTATAATTCTAAAGTTGTGATATAACCTTTTTCCTAATGTATTCCTATTTCCTATCTCATCATTGATAGCCTCCAGGGATTATTACAGCTACGCATGGTTTTTTAGGCGAGTTTACGGGGCTCAGTCTGAAATGAACTGTTAACAACAGCCCTAGCAAAAGCAGTGCTTTTTTGAATCTACCACCGGATTGGAATCGGGACCCACTGAGAAGATCCGGCTAGAAACTCAGTGGACTGTGTCTATAGATTAGTTCGCACGTTGAACTCTTCGTCGTATTCGACGAGAACGTATACCGGTGCTTTGAGGGCCCAACTTTGTACCTATAGACTCCGATAAATATCTATGTTCCCTATTTTAACACACCAAGTTTGTTTTGGACGAATGTCCCACTGCTAACTCTACTACTGCGCGGCAGAACTAGACAGGGCGGTGGTAGACGCTCCACCATCGGTACCATATGTTGTCAAACGTAACGAGATCTCTCGGAAGCATGTGCGTAAATAGTGACCCAAGTGTCTTTTAATGCCAGTCGTCGCACATGGGGCACAACATGGCCGCTAATTAGGCGTAATTTTTCGTGGGGTTTTTCATTTGAACAACAACCAAACTATTCCTTAGTCGCAGTCCAATCTCGCGAAAGCCTTAATACAATCATAATTAGCTTGAGTCGGAATATAACAGACCTTTCCTTTCGGCCCACACGCTTTGTCATCATGCGCGAAATCCATAATGAGCGATTTCGGTACAAATTCGAAAACCAACGGTGAGACGATGGCGGCGTCTCGCTCGCACGCCGCCCCGGACACTAATGCGAGAACGGGACGAGATAACTGTCAATACGTACCATATTATCGCTGATACGCTTTCCGTGTATATAATACTCGTGCGTGGGAGCGCTCGTCGAGGATGACGTTGCCTCTCCATTACCGTCGCCCGTTCCTGCGGAGAAAATTATTTTCAGCCTTTTGTCGTAACGTGTAAGTGCGTCATTTGATTGACAGGTAGTATCGTAGGTTTCGCTTTCCTCTGCCTGCCGAGGAGTAGGCGATGTTTGAGTAGGTGTCTAAGTATAATTTTTTTTCTACGTTTGTATTTCGATACTACGAAATGTATTATTATTATAGTCGTTTTATCGGAATTACGTTTTGATGTATGTTAAATAATAATATGTTTGTGCGTAATCAAAGTTCTTGGAAGACGATTTGTGTTGTTCTGTTATTATGTAATAAAAAAATTCCGCAATTACATTTACGTAGAAGGTGAAAACGTTTTTGAATAATAGAAGTATTCCTCAATTAATTTGGCTATCTAACACTGAAATAATTTTTCAAATCGAACCAGTAGTTCCTGAGATTAGTGCGTTCAACCAAACAAACAAACCCTTCATCTTCATAATATCTATACTAATACTAGCTGTCCCGGCAAACATTGTTTTGCCATATATAACATTTCTAGGGAATTTCTAGTGTAGAAACAAAAACTGACTTATTGTAAGTGTGTAAGGATGTGGTAAATGAGTGAAAGAGGCATGTAGCGCTGTGAACGTTGAGGGAATATATAATAAAAATAACAAAACCTCATTCAACCACATAATACCTCAATATAACAAAAAAAAATCCAAATAAAAAAAAAAATGTTAGGGGTGGACAACCCTAATCACTTAGGGGTATAAAAAATAGATAGTAGCCGATTCTCAGGCTTACTGAATATGCATAAAAAATTTCATGAGAATCGGTCAAGCGGTTTCGGAGGAGTATGGGAACGAACATTGTGACACGAGAATTTTAGATATAAATCTACAGTGGTTTTTACGGATGCTCCGTTATAACTACTGAACCGTGCATCCGATTGACTTGAAACTTGGTATCCATGTAGAAAATACATGTACTTAATGGATAGGCTAATATTTATATGAGTGTTGGACTCCCTACACCAGTTTCGGGGGTGTTAAAGATGAGAATCTTTGTGGGGGTAAGAAATAATAATGTTAATTTTAAATGCCCAGCGAAGCGGACGGGTACAGCTAGTAAAATTATAGATGTATGGTGCTTTGTTATGCGGAGGTCAGAGAACGGGCCTGTATGTCCAACACGAAAGTCTATCGAATTCGTAATGTAAATGTATCGAGTCCTCGATACGAAAACGGATCATTACATTAGAATTAGATGGTAATACTCGATAGCCAGCCTTCGAGATTTACGTTACCGTGTGTCAAAACAACTTTTGTACCCACGCGCCCACCGAGTTTCTCGCCGGGTCTTCTCAGTGGGTCGCGTTTCCGTTCCGGTGGTAGATTCTGCGAAGCACGGCTCTTGCTAGGGTTCGCGTTAGCAACGTCGTCAGGTTTGAGCCCCGTGAGCTCACCTACACGTTAGGGTGAAGCCGAAATAGTCTCTCAAGGCTATCAGCATAGTTAGGAACAAAAAAGTGCTCTCGATTATGAGTATAAGTTTTGAGTTCCTAGAACATAAGGATTCGATTACGAAACGAAATTAAGTAAACTAGAGGTCCCGCAGTAGTCGAAATTCGACTATAATTAATTGGAATTGTAAGTTTGTACACTATTATTATTGTATTTTATACTTCTATAATCACAAATATCGCCAAGACTACATTATAAAAAATATTAACAAAGACAAACAATATTTAATCTATTCTCAATTTGACAACAGACGTCAAGAACAGAAGTTTGACAATAAATAGTATGCATGCGTGTGTGCGTCAAATACATGGTATATAGTGTGTGCAAAGTTTTCTTTATTGATTTAATGTATCTTTTATGCATTATTTAAAAAAATATTAGCATCGTGCACTTCTTCTCTATAAGTGTGGAAAATTTCATATTCCTCCGTCCGCGCAATTTTCGTTAAAAGGGATAAGTTTTTGCTTCACGTATTAATATATAGATTCATTCGTGCTGCCAAAATTAATTCTTTTTACGGACGGTAGGAGCGTTGTTTAAATCCTATACGCATTTTTTGTCGATAGCGATACGAATCCTTTTTTTGTTTTATTTTAATTGCTTCGATGTGTGGACGAACTCACAGCCCACCTAGTGTTAAGTTGTTATTGGATCCCATATACATCTACAACGTAAATGCCGCCACCCACCTTGAAATATGAGTTCTAAAGTCTCAGTATAATTAAACGGCTGCCCCACCTTTCAAACCGAAACGCATTACTGCTTCACGGCAGAAATAGGCGGGTTGGTGGTACCTACCCGTGCGGACTCACAAGAGGTCTTACCACCTCTGAACGCCGCTGTTCGCTTGAGACATGAGGTCTACATCTCAATTGAATAACGGCTGTCCAACATGCAAACAGGGACGCATACGACTGCTCTACGTCAGATATCCCAACGCAGAATCGTGGAGATGAATGAAAAAAAAAAAAGACTATGAGCAAACTAGCCGTACTCGCCCGCTTCGCTGGGCATTTAAACATTAACATAACATTATTATTTACTGTCATTATTATTAGGGAGTCCAACACTCATATAAATACTAGCCTATCCATTAAGCACATGTATTTTCTACACGTATACTAAGTTTCAAGTCAATCGGATGTATGGTTCAGTAGTTATAACGGAACATCCGTAAAAACCTCTGTAGATCTATATATTAGTTATATTATAATGAATTGCTGTTCGTTAGTTTCGCTAAAACTCGAGAACGGCTGGACCGATTTGGCTAATCTTGGTCTTGAATTATTCGTGAAGTCCAGGGAAGGTTTAAAAGGTAGATAAATATGAAAATGCTCGGAATTGAATAAAAATAACAATTTTGTTTTTCCTTTGAGGTGTCCTTCCGTCGGACGGATTCCTTTTGTTTGTTTTAAGTTTATTTTATACAAAAGTTTAGGTCTTTTATTTATCGATTGAGGCACTACGAAGTCTGCCGGGTCAGCTAGTATTACTATAGATTAAGCAGGTACCTGTAGCTCTTGGCTGATGCGCAGGTCGTTTTCCCACCATCACGTCCGCCAGCCCACCGCCACCCAGCGCCATCCAGCCCCCTGTGCCTTCGTCGCGGCACATTACTTGTGCTCGCACGCGGACCAAGTCACTGGGACACGAAATTTAAAATAGTCATCAATATCATCATCGCCATCACATCAGTCTTCCACTGGGGGTCATTGGCCTCGTCTAAACCACACCAGCTGAGCCCAATCTTCGGCTCTTATCACCATGCCGGCCACCTTCGAAGGTCATCATAACTCCATATTATATGTACAAATATTGACAAGGAGAAAACGTTTAAACATCGTTCTCTGATTTGTTAGATAGATGGACGAGCTCACAGCCCACATTGTATTAAGTGGTTACTGGAGCCCATAGACAAAGGTCTCAAGTACAGTTACAACGGCTGCCCCACTCTTCAAACCGAAACGCATTACTGCTTCACGGCAGAAATAGGCAGAGTGATGGTACCTACCCGTGCGGACTCACAAGAGGTCCTACCGCCAGTTATTTAGATATTTGGCTTTAGCTAATTATTGCTTTATTGGAAAGTTGTTTTTCTTTTTTCTTAAATTTAAATAATAAAACATAAAGAGGCAATCAGAATTAATTTTAAGGCATCAGTGGCTAAAGTCGAATTTCGATCCGAGAAATAAAGTAGTAGGTACTTATTAGACAATTTGTGTTGGTAGTTAAGAAACACCAATTAAACTAAGTTTAACTTAGAGATGCTGATAGAAAAATATAGCTATAGCACCACTCTTGAGGTGTATAGTGGGATTTTAAGAAACTCCACATTTTAACAATAACATATTGCACTTTTAGATGAAAGTCGATTGCACGCAGCAGAGATGCGAATGTTGCGATGGATGTGTGGAGTAACGAGAATCGATAGAATACGAAATGAATATACTGAGAAAGATTACACTTGAGAATTAGTATACCACTTTGGATTGCACTAACTACTACGTGTCAACTATTGTTCCCTGGCAACGTGCGCGACATGAGAACCCTCTCACCGTAGCCGCTGGAAACTACATACCCGACCCAGTAGACCGAATGGTAAACCGTCGACGTCGCTCAAAGCACGTCATTACGGATCCTCCTGATCCATTAACGGTGCTTTTAGGCACCACAAGCACCGGTCACCGTCCTCGTCGAACCCGTCGCTTGCGACGAAGGGCTCGACGAGCGAACTAACCCATAGATACAGCCCACTGAGTTTCTCGCCGGATCTTCTCAGTGGGTCGCGTTTCCGATCCGGTGGTAGATTCTGCGAAGCACTGNCACCGGTCACCGTCCTCGTCGAACCCGTCGCTTGCGACGAAGGGCTCGACGAGCGAACTAACCCATAGATACAGCCCACTGAGTTTCTCGCCGGATCTTCTCAGTGGGTCGCGTTTCCGATCCGGTGGTAGATTCTGCGAAGCACTGCTCTTGCTAGGGTCAGTGTTAGCAACTCTCCGGTTGAGCCCCGCGAGCTCACCTACAAACGTTAGGTCGAAGCTGAAATAGCCTCTCAAGGCTATCAGCATAGGTAGGACAAAAAAAAAGGCAACGTGCGATGAGAGCCCGTGGCTTTGTAGTACATTGCGGACTAACGAAATACAACGAAGACTAATTATTGGCTTACTTGAACAATTACCCATACGCTATTAGGTCATTTCCTTCTAGTGACAAGCGCATCGGATCAATGTTGATATGCCCATCTATATATTAATACGTGAAGCAAAAACTTTGTACCCCTTTTTATGGAAATTGCGCGGACGGAGGAGTATGAAATTTCCCACACTTATAGAGAATATACACAATGCACAATGCTATTTTTTTAAAGCATTATTAATACATTAAACAATAATAAAAGCATTACACACACTACCACATATTTGACACACACACTTAAATAATTTATACTCTTTGTTTACTTTCAAACTTTTGTTATTGCTTAAAGTCTGTGGTCTAATTGAGAACAGGTTAATACTGTTTGTCTTTATTAATATTTGTCTAAAGTGTATGTGGTCTTGGCGAAATCTGTGATTAAACAAGTATAAATAGTCTTTGACCACAGAATCATAATAGTGTACAAACTCATAATTTTAATTAATTATAGGCGAATTTCGACTACCGGGGGATCACTGGTTCTGATAAACCCTTGACAAAGACCGATGCCTCCGAAACATAACGCGTAGCTGTCACAAGTCATGCTGATTTGCGATCTACAGATAGGGGTGGGAAAGGATGGCCCTTGGGACAGTAAAAAATAATATAATAAGTAGTATATATTGGCAGTCTTATGCCATAAGTTGCAAAAGTCGGCGACTAATGTTCAAGACGTTATTATGTATACTAGTGGTCCCTCTGTAGTCGAAATTCGACTATAATTAATTGAAATTATACATAACTTTGAATATTATTAAGGTTCTATTGTCAAAGACTAGTTATCATACTTCTATAATCACAGATTCGCCAAGACTACTATAGACAAATATTAATCTATTCTCATTTTGACCACAGATTTTAATGCAATGACAAAAGTTTGACAGTAAATAAAGAGTATTTATATATGTGTGTGTGTCAAATACATGGTAGCGTGTGTAATGTTCTTTTTATTGATTTATTGTATTTTTTATCCATAATTTAAAAAAAAATATTAGCATTCTGCACTCCTTCTCTATATTCTCTGTAAGTGTGGGAAATTTCATACTCCTCCGTTCGCGCAATTTGCGTAAAAAGGGGTACAAGTTTTTGCTTCACGTATAAATATTATGTATATCTTTTTCTGCTTACATGTTCTGTATACTTATCTCGATCACGGCCCTGAAACTGCGATACTCTAAGACAAATATTTTTTTTGTATGGAAACTATCGACATCTTGTAACGGATGCCCCTAAACTTATATGTTCTTAAAGTTAAGGCATTTAATTATTGTACAACTAGACACAGAAAATAAAAAAAATAAGATATCATAGTCTTTATTTGTTATAGACAACTGATTAGATTTTATCAATTTATGGTTTCNGTACAACTAGACACAGAAAATAAAAAAAATAAGATATCATAGTCTTTATTTGTTATAGACAACTGATTAGATTTTATCAATTTATGGTTTCTAAAAATTTACAAAATCCTTCATTAAAAATAAAATATAGGATAGTTAATATGTTCCTGCCATCTACACGAGCAATGAGAAACTAATCGAAGCGAAGCCATCTAGTCGCCGACGCCCGTAAACATTTTTGTTGAGTACCTACTTGAGTTGCTAATCTATAACTTTGTGTATTATCTATGAGTGTCACAATATAACGGGTTTTAAATAACGTAGGAAAATAAATGCAAATTTATTTGAAATAGGCCCTCACATACACCTACACCTATTCACCAAAACACAATTGTGTCTTAAAGAAATCAAACTTTAAAAAAAATCTAAATTTGCTTCAATATTGGTTGCATCTGAGATCTACCAAAACAGATGGGCATCATCAGGTCACGTCAGGTTGGTAGTCAATTTTTGCCGCGTAGCAACAATGCTTTTTTTTTATTGCTTAGATGGGTCGACAAGCTCACAGCACACCTGGTGTTAAGTGGTTACCGGAGCTCATAGGCATCTATGACGTAAATGCGCTACCCACCTTGAGATATAAGTTCTAGGGTCTCAAGTATAGTTACAATGGCTGCCCCACCCTTCAAACCGAAACACATTACTGCTTCAAGGCAGAAATAGGCAGGGTCGTGGTACCTACCTGTGCGGACGCAGAAGAGGCCCTACCACCAGTAATCAAAAGAGGTCCAACCACAAGTAATCACAAGAGGTCCTACCACCAGTAATCATGCGTTGCAGTTTCGTAAACACCAACGATTGAGTAAGCATAAAATAGGCACTGCAGTTTTTTTTTTAATAAAGAGCTTACTCGTCTTCCGCCTATTCTGCTGAAAAGCAATTTGTGACTACAGCCTCAAGTCCCAAGGTGGTGAAATACACGTTGTGTCCTCTATAGGCTTTGGTAACTACACTGTGTCGTCAAACAGCAGTGAGATGTCGGTAGCATATAACAAGACACTATCAGTAAATTATCAGTTAAGTCAACCACTTAACATCAGGTGTGATTTAGCTTACTTGGATGTCTATTCAATGCAAACATTTTGGTGTGAACTGATGTACATAATGTTCAATAGACAAAAAACTTACAAACTTCAATTTTTCAAAAATCTACATATAGAAAGTGTAGTGTTTCTTTATATTTGAGGGCTTGCAAATATTTAGTTGACTCTTCCAACATTTAGCAACATTGTTAGGAGGTGTAACCTTATATTATTGTATCGGCTGAGTATTGCCAAGATGTGTATTCTTGTGTTGTGTTCAATATCAACCACTCACGCACACAATGACTTAACCTTCTGCAGACTTTTTAAATTGTTTAGTATTTTGGACCAGTTGGCAAGCAGACCCTGGCACAAGACTGAGAAAATACTAGGAAGAAGAAGAAGGGGAAAAACTAAGGATAAGATTTTTAAAGTGATTTGGGTGTGAGAATCTGAGGTATGATTCAATTTTGGAAAAGGAATCTTTGGTCTGAAATCGTTTGGGAAATCTCTGTTGTAGATGATAGATTATTTTAGAGAATAATTGGAATAATTTGTGTTTTTAATTATGATAAAAACACAAAATGAATTGTTACAATGTCCACAGGAACCATGGTGGGAATACATCCATTGACATCTCAGGTTGAAGGCTGTGTTAAACAATGCCACCATTGTTCTCTAAGTCTGCTATAAGAATATCCGTTCATAATTTCATTCAGATTATGGTACATAGGAACAGTGATGGGCAAAAAGTAATCAGATTAATAATTACAAATTACAGTTACATTGTAATTGGTAATTGAGATACTTTGTAACAGGTTACTTACGTAACTGATTACAGCGAGTACTTATTGTAATCAGTTATAAAGTAATTCGATTATAAGTTAATCTAATTACATTAACTGTAACAGATTACTTATGTATTTGAAACAAGTTACTTATAATTACTGATACTTAATTGATCACATAACTATTCTGTTATGTTATGTTATGTTAGGTAACTTTACAAACAATGTCCTACCAATAACTTTTTTGACAAACACAAAAATGAAACACATTTTATATACTTTTTTTATAATCTTTTATCATTTTACGTTATTTTCTTTAAATTAATCATTGGCAGATTAAATTAAACAACATTATTTTGCTGATTTATAATTTAAATTACTTTTAATATGACTCTTTTTTTCAAACATTTCGTCTGACAGGCGGTTGGTTGGCTTTCGGACAATTAATCATAGTAGCGTACGAAAACAAAAAAAAGTCGAAAAGAAAAAGCAAAGTCGTCCCCCACTCCGCTCACCTTCCTGTCTAGTTCACGATGAAGTGAACCTTACCTATTTATGTTTATTGAAGTACATAAAACCTACCTATCTAAAAAATCGATGTATGATATATATAAATATGTGTTTTTATTACAAGTGTTATATCCAAAGTAATTACGATTTACGATGTAATTGATTACTATGTAATTAGGTTAGATTGTAATTTAGTTATATTGCAATTAAATACATAGTATTCAATTACTTTCACATCAAAAGTAACTTTAATTACAATGTAACTGATTACTATATAATCAGATTACAGTGTAATTAAATTATTTTGTAGTTTAATTACTAATTAGATTACAAAAGTAACTAGTTACGCCCATCACTGCATAGGAATGAATGGATTATCTTGAAAATAGAAGATACCAATTTGTTTCAATTGCATTACTGTATGCACTAGAATTATGTATCAGGTTTTTTAAATAAGAAATTATAGTGAAATGTACCATGATGAGTTCTTATATTTAGTATCAGTAGATGAAGTAGGTGTTCAAAGATATCATAAGATGTTTCTGCTGTTCATCATCAGATTTAAGACTCAATCACAGTTACAACAACAACTGTAATGCCCTTTAATTAGTAATGCAGGTGTGCTTTGTAGCAGAAATAGGTAGATGATGTTACCCAAATATGTTGGCATTCCATATGCTCTACATTTACAAGTCAATAAGAGCCAAAAAACTCAAATTTAGCTACTCAATTATTTATTTACTCAAAAATTTGAATGGAGACCAAAAATAGCAATAATTAGAAGCCATCATTTTTACTTTCTATCTATCTATCTCTTAGGTATGATCTTTACTATAGTTTTGTATTCTTTAAGTTTTAAAAACAAAATGTATTTTATTTTTCATTCACAAGAAAAATAAAATCATGGTTTAAAAGGCACATAATATCATAAACTACTACATTGGTACAGGTGTAGAATACTGAAATATGGTACACTCCTATTTCAATATCTTCAACATGTTAATCTTTCGTTCTATAAGGCTAATGTTAATAATGTAAACTAAAAACAATGAACGATCAATTAAACATTATGCAAATTATCCATTGTGAATCTCAACAAGATCTACGACAATTTCTGCGAGGCCAATGGATATTGTTATTTGGTCAAAGTTTGCGCGAATCCTTACGCATGGAAGCTACTGCAATCAAATTTCATTGAAACAGCTAGCTTGAATCGGAATAGCTTCAAATGACCCTGTAAGCAGTCGCCAACTTTATTGTGAATGAACGTCTACTCATTGATTATACCTATACACAGGGACACAGGGTTGACCTAAGGGCGGCGGTCGTCACTAACATGTATGCACATTGAAGCGCTGTTCACCACGAAAACGCAGTTAGGCCTGTCATTTAGACTCAGAAAAGGTAAGTTCGGTTTCAAAACAAGATCAAAACACATTAATAAAATCCCTAGCTATGAAAAATGGCCGGGGTAAGGCCCTACCTAGCTGAGAGAGCTGAGACAGGGCGAAGTACGGAATACGAAAAATCAGTCATTCCGGGGTTTACTTACTTTTCAGATGCCTCGGTCATGATTCGACACGTCGAATATCCTAATTTGTAGTCGCCACTTCACAGATTTCACCATTTTTATGACATAAATACATCAGATTCACTTTAGAACCGTTCTTATTTCGGCCCTATTTCGGGCCACAGTGCGCTTGCGTCAAATACAATTCGTCCGGGCGGGTTTCAATGAATAGCGGCCAGTTCGCGCGACAGGTGGCGCGCTCGTCGGACGCAACTACGCAAGCCCGAACCGCCGTTGGCTCTGACGTTCAACTCCGATAAATTCACCAATCACGACAACCGATACCGATAGTCTCTACCAGCGAATAGAGCTTCCATGCATTCACGAAAAAAATTACGGCGCCCTTTTTAAAATTTAACCTCGCCTTTTGTTTAAATTTGGGGGTAGTTTTTCCGATAACTAATGAGAAAATCTGTAATATCACAATAGAGCAACTAATATCAGTAAATGGCTTCAAAAGATGCCTCAGACTATAATTTGAGCGGTGTTTTGTCGGAACGCGGAAGCGTGTGTCACTAGCTTCGGGGGCTCGACCGTTACTGAATGGAACGGGGCTCGCAATGGGCCCATCCCCTTTTGCAGCGGGCCATTGAAAAATAAATAGGTCAGATCATTGCAACGTGCCCTAGATGCAAGCGCGCAGCCATTCACAAGCGGCGCTGTTGCATGGGCCCCCAGTCTATTTATAGTTGCTCTATATTTGGTAGGTCATTCGCAGTAGACGTAAGTGCAACCTCCGTAAACTAGGTTACCTGATTTTCTTTGTTAATACCCGCTTCGGTGACGTAGTTCGTGCTATGACGTCATAGATGAATTTACAAAGAGACATTTCCTATTGACATTTTTGATAAAAAAATCTTTTAACGTTGTTTTGGTAAAACTAGAAAATGTTTGATTTGATTGATTGAAATGACTGTATTGTAGTATTATGATGATTAAATTTAAGTAATGGAAACTAAAATTAAATCTATTTGAACAAGAGGTTATCATTGAAGCTAACTGTTTTTTATTGGTAGCAGAAATTCTTGAAATGGCCTATTATTTTTAAATATTAATTATAATTTTTTAAATAATCAAAAATTGACTTTTCAGTTTATTACCATAAGGAATATTACTCAATCAGAATCGAAAACTTTTCGTTTTTGAGTTCGGAGTAGGTATATAAAATTAATGTATAAACTAATTAAAATTGAGACATAAATAAACAAAGATTACGTAAATCCGTACATAATATGGATACACATATATATCAATAAAAATTATAGTTTAATAATTAATTCTGTTTCTACAAAGAGATGCAAGTTCATTGACCTTTCCTGGTCATTCATAATGCAAGTTTTATTTACCCTCAAAATCTCTAATGTAAGTCAGAAAAAAATGTTTTCAGTGTTTTTTTTTTTATACCAATAATGTCTTCTTTTTTTTTAATGAATAGATAGACAAAGGAGGTAAATTCGCGTTTACCCTGTGACGTCATCGGCGGAGTGAATGGCGAATAGGTGTGTGCGTACTAAATAAATATTTTCAAGAGAAGAATAAATCATTTCTATAGAGTTAATAATTCAAATATCAGTTCGAATAATTCGGTTTTTTTTAAAGATACTACTATGTTTATTCCGAGATTATTTTTTTACGTTTTATTGAACTCTCAAACACGTTTGCTTTTGTGAATGATTTCTGAAGAACTAGCGATCCACTTATTCCATGAGCTAACATGGGGTATGTCAGGGCCCCCTTCCAGAACTGTTTTAATGAGGACCGTGAAGTGTAGCGCTCGGAGAACATCGATAAGGCTCAATTTAGATTAGGTACTTTAAGTTCTCTGGAAATTATTGTTATTATTAAATTTATTTATTTCAGATAATGTTAATCTATGTTAATGTTAGTAACCGTGGTTTCTTGAATAGTAAAAATGTAGTAACAAAAAAAAGGAACAACATACATTTATTATTACTGGTGGTAGGATCTCTTGTGAGTCCGCACGGGTAGGTACCAACACCCTGCCTATTTCTGCCGTGAAGCAGTAATGCGTTTCGGTTCGAAGGGTGGGGCAGCCGTTGTAATTATACTTGAGACCTTAGAACTTATATCCCAAGGTGGGTGGCGCATTTACGTTGTAGACGTCTATGGGCTCCAGTAACCACTTAACAACCATGTGGGCTGTGAGCTCATCCACCCATCTAAGCAATAAAAAAATACATTGCAATTTCAATAGTTGACCATTACGAGCAAAATTTGTGGTCTTCTCTATAATTATTGAGAAAAGGTCTATCTAATCTCGAAAATATGGCCAGGACGCTGTTGGAGCGAGCCCCTACCCTGCAGAGCAAGAACGCGCATCGTTTTCTTATTATGGCATAGAAATCGTCGGAATGCGCCTCCGCAAACATACCCGATGCGGTGGGTAATCGAGACACCCCCATCAGTGTGCTTAGTGCGAGTTCTTTAACGCTTTTGATAGCGTTTTTTTCCTACCTAAGCTGATAGCCTTGAGAGGCTATAGCAGCGTCGCCTAAACTAGTAGGTGAGCTCACGGGGCTCAAACCTGACGACGTTGCTAGCACTCGCCCTAGCAAGAGCAGTGCTTCGCAGAATCTACCACCGGATCGGAACCGCGAACCACTGAGAAGATCCGGCGAGAAACTCAGTGGGCTGTGTCTGAGAGTTAATTCGCTCGCCGAGCCCTTCGTCGCAAGCGACGGGTTCGACGAGAACGATGACCGTTGCTTGAGGTACCTAAAAGCACCGATAGTGGATCCGGAGGATCCGAAATGAGGTGTTTTGGGCGACGTCGACTGATTTCAATTCTGTCTGCAGGATCGGGAATGTTTGATAGCGTAAAAGTTTACTCAAATTTGAATGCATTTGGAACAGCGCCTCTAGTGGCTAACGTAGGCAAACTTTTGAACTCCATACAAATTTGTTTTAAAGTTTACGCGATCGAAAACGTTGAAAAACTCGCACTCGTGAGCTCCCCTACCCGTCTGGGCGTAACTGTATTAGGCTGTTAACTGTTACTGGTGGTAATATAAATAATATAATATATAAATATTTACTAACAATCACGCCACGTTAACTGGTCCCGTGCTAAGTTCGTAAAGAACTTGTGTTACAAGTACCAGATAACGGAAATAAATATAATATTTTTATTATACACATACATATATTTTAATATACACCCATAACCCTGGAAAGACATTTATATTTATCAGACAAATATCTTCCCTTGGCGGGATTCGAACCCGCGACCCCCTTGTGTAGTGACCATGTCACTTACCACTACACCAGACGGCCGTGGTAGGACCTCTTGTGAGTCCGCATGGGTAGGTACCACCACCCCGCTTATTTCTGCCGTTAAACAGTAATGCGTTTCGGTATGAAGGGTGGGGCAGCCGTTGTAACTGTACTTGAGAACTTAGAACTTATATCTCAAGGTGGGTGGCGCATTTACGTTGTGGATGTCTATGGGGTCCAGTAACCACTTACACCAGGTGGGCTGTGAGCTCGTCCACCTATCTAAGCAGTAAAAAAAAAGGCTACCAACGAAGAAAAAAAAACGGGTTTTTTAAACACTAGAAAATAAAATAATTGTTTTTTTTTAATAACCATTTAATTTCATAACAGCTTAATAAAACATATCTAAAATTAAATATGACAGAAGATATAAATAAATACAAAAAAAAACTTATGATCTTACAATATTAAGGGAATAACCGAAATTTTACTGCTTATTTTCTATGTTTAATGTGTTTAATACATAATGAAATATTGTTCAGTTTCTGAACGTCAAAATGTCAGCGAGCGACTTCCGCCATGACACCAAATCCTCTTACAAATCCAGCCGCCAAAAGCAACGCGTCAATTTTACAATTTTCTTATATTAAGTCGTTTTGTATATGAGTTGACTATTATCAAAGCTGGCAATGTGACTTTTGGACAATTATTGGTAAATCAGAAAAACGAATTATTGACTTTGTATTCCATTGGCAGTCACAAAACTCTTCTGAACGACATCTTAGATAAATAACAGGTTAAGTATTAACCTTTATTTAATACAGGTTTTGAACCGTATTCTTTGAAAGAGACGATTATATTCAAATCAATCTGTATTGACATATCAATAACATTTTTTTGTCCAAATGCACAGATTGCCACCTTTGATAATAGACGACTCATATATAAAGGATAAATAAATATTTCACACAAAAAATACAGACCACGCTTAATTAAAATAACGCAACAAATACAAAGAGGCGTAGTTGAGTTGTTTCATTTAGAAAAATTACTCTCCATTTTGTACTGGCTTCTAGTCTCATATAAAATGAGTTTCAAATAAGAATGTGCATGAACCTGCGCCATATTGTGACGTCATAGCTGTCAAATCGGAAAAAAATAGGTAGTCAGTAAAAAAGATAAGGATTTTTGTAATATTTATTTATAATCCAAATTTTCGAGTTTGCCGATTCCACCCATCCCACTGCTTGAGTAACCGACAGTGTTGCAGCCTTGATATTTATATAGGTGGGATTTTTTTATATAATCTAAATTCATGTTTAATTTACCTCGACCAGTACTCAACATTTCAAGAAAATTATATACAGGTGTATGGTTCATTAAACAAACAATAGATGATGACCGAGCTTTGCTCGGTTTATTTTATTTTTTTATAAATTGTGTTTTTTAGAAATTATATTTAAATACGAATTACATATTGATAAAATGATGAAATATTCCAAGATCGTTTAGGGATTGTTAAGTCAACACGTAAGTTAAAAAGACACAAATAATATAAATAAATAATTCATTTTCTTGGTTTAACCATAAACCAAACACTCATTGGCTTCAGGTTGCTTAACAACGCCATGTGCTGAAGTAGCTTTTGTGTTATTGTGCTTTAAAGCAGTTAGTTGCTCTCAATTAAGAAAAATAATATTATTATTCGCCAATAGATGTCGGGAAGAGTCATAAAGTTGATTATGAATAAAGTTGATTATTGAAAACACGAAAAAAAACTATTCTGAAAATAAATCGTAGCTAGATCGATTTATCGCCCCCCCCATCCCCGGTATACTAAATTTTATGAAAATCGTTGGAGCCGTTTCCGAGACTCAGATTATATATAAATATATACAAGAATTGCTCGTTTAAAGGTATAAGATAAGATATTAATAGTCTTCATAATTAGGATAAAAATTCAATTAAAAAAACATGATATCATATTTTTTTTGTTGCTATCCATACTTTTTTATCGAACTTTGACAGATCAAGTCATTGACGTGCACATTCTTATTTGAAACGGACTATAACGCGGTTCCACACAACACGGGACTTGTCAGGAGCGTATGTACCTACCGCGCTATAGGAGGGTAGGTGTATATTTAGGTAAATATGTCAACGCGACACCAATAGTACTCACAAACCATCCTAAAAGTATATTATAAGGCACGATAAATATTTCTTCAATAACACATTTTACCCTTACACTATTAAGCACTTATTAGTAAAAAATTAAATCTTTACTTTTGTCTGTTTAGTTCTTATGAAATAACTGTTTTTTTTTACAGCGCCTTCAAAGATGTATAGGACCGTATATTTTATATATTATACAATATCTAATTATTATTTGTAAAATGGAAAGATTCGGTCGAGTGAAATTTTTCGACATGATATCGTTTATGAGACGCTAAACAATCTTAACCCTTTGCCGGCCATGTAGGTCACCGGTGTCCTACGCGGCGCACTGAAGTAATAACATCGTGTAATAAAAATAAAACCCGCAATATTATAATTTGCGTAATTACTGGTGGTAGGACCTCTTATGAGTCCGCGCGGGTAGGTACCACCACCCTGCCTATTTCTGCCGTGAAGCAGTAATGCGTTTCGGTTTGAAGGGCGGGCAGCCGTTTTAGTTATACTTGAGACCTTAGAACTCATATCTCAAGGTGGGTGGCGGCATTGACGTTTAACTAATTAAACAATAAATATATAAAAAGGTCACCTGTGCCCTACGCGGTGCACTGAAGTAATTCTTTTGTCGTGGAGTCTACTAGATATTCCAGCGCCTTAGTAAGAAGTTGAAGAGATAAATCGACATAGTTACTTCAGTGCGCCGCGTAGGGCACCGGTGACCTACACGACAGGCAAAGGGTTTAAGATCCTTGAAGCCGTGGAGCATTGTTAGTGTCTACAGGTTCTCGTAGTCCGGCGGCGGGCTCTTCGTGGCCTGGGCGACGGCCGCTTTGGGCAGATCCTCGCCTTGATTCATCACGGAATTAAGCAAGCGCTGTGAAACAAAAATGATTTTTTTTTTTTTGACAGACAGTTGGCACCCCTGACTGCTGCGTTACTGCTATGTTTCCGTTACTGGTTGTTAAAGCACAGGGAATTCTAGATTGAGGTCGTGTGGCAGCTTATGAGAATTGTCTATGGCCATTTAAAAAAACTCAGATAATTATTTATGTTAAAAGAGTGCGTTAATCCACAATACTAAAGCATAGATTTTTCTTCTAAATTTTCAGTATGGCAGTCGTCTTGTTGAGATTCCAATATTGCCAGAGCTTAAAACACAATTAATTGTGTTTTAAGCTCTAGCATTATTGTTGCATAGTGTGCAGGACGAAATAGGGTTTTTTTATAGTTTAAGAAACAAATAGATTTAATTTAACCGTTAATAAGTGATTACGTAATAAATGTATAATCTTAAGTTATTTTATAGTCAATACGTTAGTGTATCAGATCAGAGAATGTAAATAGACCAATAGGAACGATTTGTGGAGCGCTTTCACTACGGTAACATACAGATCAAGGGACCCTCCGAAAGTGACGCGTCGATAGCGCGTCGCGAGATGGGTACTGAAATAAATATAAAAGGATGGCCATTTATAGGCAAAAAACAGTTCTCAGCGGATCTCCGACATAGAAACATCATAGAAACAAACAGTTCTCAGCAGATCATCAAGACAGAAACAGTTAATCTTCCCAGTTCCCAGTGAATCTTCGACAAAGAACCATCAGCAAGATAGAAACAGTTCTCAGCAGATCATCAAGACAGAAACAGTTCTCAGAAGCTCTCCGACAAAGAAACATCAGCAAGACAGAAACAGTTACCAGCAGTTCTCCGATAGTACAGCTACCACCAGTGAATCAGCTACCAGTGAACCAGACAATTACCTGTGAAACCTCGCTACAGAAGCCGATACCCATCGAAAGAAACAGCCGTCTTCTACCAGCGCACAAACAGACAGCAGAAAACATTATTACACGACTCGGAAACAGCCATACAGACCGGGTCGTGTACACATAGCGTATAACAATAATGTTCGGTTCTGTTAACCGACTTATAAAATGAGGAGGCTCTGAATTCTACTATATTTTTTATGTGTTTTTATGTGTGTATTTTTTATTTAATTTTTTATTTTACCAAGATCTAGTAGGTATGTAACGAATAGTTTTAGAGTTATCCTTATCGATGCATACATAATTGACTTCGACTGGAGTTGTTTTTTTGTAACGTTCACCCAGGCAAAGGGTACACGGCTCATACAGTCAAGTTTCACTTTCATTATCGATTTACAACAGTTTCAATCACACTTACAATATGCTCGAGGCCATCACTGTTCGGTCTGCTCTGCGAGTAGACGAGACTTTGTTTCGTCGTTTGAACTGCGACCGGACTCTTCGATGCGACGTCTTCAGCTACCTGCAGCGCGTGACTGAGGGCACTAAAATAATAACCACAGATTATGACCTGGTAACTAAGAACTTTAGGTCGTGTCTTATTTTAATTTATATTCTTATTTTTATGAAAAAGATTATAATATGGAGTGAAATTAAATGAAGATGTTTAATTTATGACATTAATCTTTTCGGATGAAATTAAATGAAATGATATGGGATGAAATATAATATATAATCTCAGTAAAACGGTGGTCATTTACTGAGATTTTTTCAGTGGACTCTTTGGAGGATCCCGAGAAGTTACGTCCAGCGCCTTTGTTTCATTTTCCCACATTTGTGCACTTTCACAGATAGTAAACAATTAATAAACCACCGTTATTACACATTTAAGCCTGAAGAAAGACTAAATAGACAAAATAAAACAAATCACACAACTTCACTCCTCGCGTTCCCGCCAAAAAGTCCTTAGTAATCTGTGCTTTAGAATCATAGATAATACATTTGATCTATGAGATTACAATAAATTCAAATGCGGTTGCTGTATAGCGGGAACCCTAGGAGTGAAATGTTTTATTTTGTTAATTTTGGGCCCAAATTAGGATTCCCTTGTTTTATTGGTACCAGAGACTGGCATACACACTTATATATTTTTAAATAAATACATATATATATATTTTTTATTGCCTTTGTAGGCAGACGGGCATACGGCCCACCTGATGGTGAGTGGTTACCGTCGCCCATGGACTTCAGCGATGCCAGGGGCAGAGCCAAGCCGCTGCCTACCGCTTAATACTCTCCACAAGCCTCGTTTGAAGAAGGACATGTCATAGCGCTCGGGAAACACCGTGGAGGGGAGCTCATTCCATAGCCGGATGGTACGTGGCAAAAAAGATCTCTGGAAACGCACTGTGGATGACCGCAGTGGCTCCAGGTAGTATGGATGAACTCTACTCCGGTGGCGGGCGGTGCGATGGTAAAAACGAGATGCTGGTATCATCTCGAACAATTCCTCAGAGCACTCCCCATGGAACATACGGTATAAAACAATGAACACTGTGACAAATATTAAACAAATAAGTTCATCACACGAATGTTTGCCTGACGTGGGAATCGAACCCACGACCCTCAGCGCGACATTTATCTCAATTGTTTACCAATATAAGCGTATTAAAATAATTTATTCACTAACATAATTGACGTTACGTATAATTGATTTTTAAAATAACAAATTAATAAGCGTCCTTGTTAAAAAACACTCACGTGTCTTTATCGGGGAACACTTTACTGACGAAGCCTATTTCACTCGCTTCCCTAGCGTCGAACTTTCGGCCGGTGTAGCAAAGTTCTCGCGCTATCGACGTGTTGCCAATTATCTGAATGAAAATGTTACCGTGTTTAAAATTTTATTCCGTCATCTATATATTATTAAGTGGTTAACTACGAAATAGCTGTTTAGTGTCTTCCTCCTTCGTCCTCGCGTCAATAATCCTCAATGCTAAGAGTCGTGGCCTCATGAGGCTTTCTTGGAAAACTTATCCGGGCATGGGACCGGTATTGGGATTGGCCGTTTAATGTAGAGAAAGCTTACTGGTGGAAGGACCTGTTGTGAGTCCACACGGGTCAGTACCACCACCCTTCCTATTTCTGCCGTGAAGCAGTAACGCGTTTCGGTTCGCAGACACTGAGACCTTAGAACTCATATCTCAAGGTGACGGCATTTACGTTACAGATGTCTATGGGCTCCGGTAACCACTTAACACCAGGTGGGCAATGAGATCGTTCATCCACCTAAGAAATAAAAAAGTTCGGTTCATCTATTTAAGTGATTTTTTTGTTTTTTATTTAAAAACTACCTTTATTATTATTTTTAGATCGTAATGAAGCTACTCATATTTATCGAAGCTAATGTACCTTCGGGAGCCTTTGCAGGGTTCCAACATCGGCCGCCAAGCCAACATCCACTTCCTTGACTTGAAACCACGCGTCCTGGGAGCAATACCTGAAAATTCAAACCTATACTAATATATAAATCTACAGTGGTTTTTACGGATATTCCGTTATAACTACTGAACCGTGCATCCGATTGACTTGAAACTTGGTATCCATGTAGAAAATACATGTACTTAATGGATAGGCAAATATTTATATGAGTGTTGGACTCTCATTAAGTTATTCCCATTATTTATTGTTATTAAATAATGACAATAAATAATAATGTACGTGAAGCAAAAATTATGAGATGAGATGATATGGAATGAAATATAATCTTAGTAAAATGGTGGTCATTTACTGAGATCTTTTCAGTAGACTTTTTGGAGGATCCCGGGATGTTACGTCCAGCGGCTTTGTTTAATTTTCCCACATTTGTGGACTTTCACAGATATTATTAATTGCTTAGAATCTGTGAAAGTGCACAAATGTGGGAAAATACAACAAAGCCGCTGAATGTTGCTTCTCGGGATCCTCCCAAATGTCCACCGAAAAAGTCTCTGTAAACGACCACCATTTTACTGAGATTATATTTCATCACATATCTTTTCATTTGGAAATTTAATTCGTTTTAATAATTTATGTAATGTCGCGATTAGTTTTCTTCGTTTATTAAATTGTGAATAATTAAAACAGCGAATTATAAAAATCTTATTACTTGACGCTGGCTAATGCACAAACCGTGCCGGAGCCAAAAAATAAAGGAAAGATAACCGTTACCCTCGCCCGGTTACGCTGATTTTTTTTTTCTACTGATCTGAGAGGCTTGATGGGCTATTTCAGCGTAACCTTAACTAGTAGGTGAGTTCACGGGGCTCAAACCTGACGACGTTGCTAACACGAACCCTAGCAAGAGTAGTGCTTCGCAGAATCTACCACCGGATCGGAAACGCGACCCACTGAGAAGATCCGGCGAGAAACTCAGTGGGCTGTGTCTGTGGGTTACCTTACTCGTCGAGCCCTTCGTCGCAAGCGAAGGGTTCGACGAGAACGATGACCGGTGCTTGAGGTACCTAAAAGCACCGTTAGTGGATCGGGGGAATATTACCAGCAGTGACGCCGGTGGACTGAGAAATTAAAATGCTATAAGCAGATAAGAAATATCACTAAAGCTACTAAAATCAGACTTGTAAGAGCGCTGGTCTTCCCCATTTTTCTTTATGCTGCTGAGACCTGGACATTGAGAGAAGTGAGAAAAAGAGGATAGATGCTCTCGAAATGTGATGCTGGAGAAGAATGTTGCAAATATCGTGGACAGAGTTCAGAACGAATCAGTCAATTCTACAGGAACTCGGCATCAAGCAGCGACTTTCCTCCATCGTTCAGGGTCGCATTCTCACTTTCTTCGGGCATGTGTCGCGGCGAGGTGACGACTCAGTTGAGCGCCTTGTGGTGCAGGGCATGATAGAGGATACAAGACCGCGCGGCAGATCACCGTTACGATGGACCAACCAAATAAAGGCAGCTCTAAACGGTCCCGTTAACGAGTGCACAAGAAGGGCCGCGGTACGCGAGGAATGGCGACGTCTGGTGAAGCGCACCACCAACCGAAGTGATGACCACGACCACTCTGCCAAGAGTGCATACGACTGAGAAGAAGAAGCAGATAAGAAAATGTCTGTCCACTCCAAGTACCTGATGTCGCAGGCGGTGACCAGGTCCACGCCGGCGCCGATACAGGCGTTGTGCACGACGGTCAACACTGGTTTGACGCAATCCTCCAAAGCCGTGATTCCGTCCTGATATTGATCCATTTAAAAAAAAATTTTTTTTACTTGCTTAGCCTGGTGTACGAGCTCACAGCCCCCCTGGTATTAAGTGGTTACTGGAGCCCATAGACATCTACGACGTAAATGCGCCACCCACCTTGAGATATAAGTTCTAAGATCTCAGTATAGTTACAACGGCTGTCCCGCCCTTCAAACCGAAACGCATTACTGCTTCACGGCAGAAATTGGCAGAGCGGTGGTACCTACCCGTGCGGACTCACAAGAGGTCCTACCACCAGTTTCTATGATGTTCTATGGGCTCGTATTTAAGGGTCACATTTGAGGGGGAAAGCAATACTGACAGATCATAAAAATGACTTTTTCATTGCCACCTGGTGCTAAGTGTCCGGACACACTAAAAATAGACAGGATGGTGGTACCCGTCTGTGAGGGCTGACAAGATGATGAAGATCTGTTATGTTTTTTTTTGTCGTTGTAGACAGACGAGCGTGCGGTAGTGATAAGTAATCAGCATTGCTCATGGAGCAATTGCATGGGCACAGCCAAACTGCTGCTAATCCCAAAATAACAGACAATACTGAATGGCAATACGAACCTGTGCGTATTTAATGAAGTTGTAATGGTATCTGGCCTTCCTGGCCACGTCTGGAAGGTCCTCAGCCTCCGCCGCCATTTCCACGAGGCTGTTTATTTCTATACCTGTAAATATATGGTAATAGTCGATATTGAAGTTTCCTTGGCCTAAAGGATAAGACGACCGGTGCATTTGTATGTAGCGACGCAACGGTGTTCGAATCCCGCAGGCGGGTACCAATTTTTCTAATGAAATACGTACTTAACAAATGTTCACGATTGACTTCCATGGTCAAGGAATAACATCGTGTAATAAAAATGAAAACCGCAAAATTATAATTTGCGTAATTACTGGTGGACGTCTTGTGAGTTTGCACGGGTAGGCACCACCACCCTGCCTATTTCTGCGTGAAGCAGTAATGCGTTTCGGTTTGAAGGGTGGGGCAGCCGTTGTAACTATACTGAGATATATAGAACATCGGTAGGCAGCGGCTTGGCTCTGCCCCTGGCATTGCTGAAGTCCATGGGCAACGGTAACCACTCACCATCAGGTGGGCCGTATGCTCGCCTGCCTACAAGGGCAATAAAAAAAAAAAAAAAAAACAAAAAAAAAAATATCTCAAGGTGGGTGGCGGCATTTACATTGTAGGTATCTATGGTCTCCAGTAACTAATTAACACCAGGTGAGCTGTGAACTCATCCACCCATTTAAGCAATAAAAATAAAATAAATGTTAAATGTTAAGTTGTCTGAGTTTTATATCTTCTATCCATATCATATTATGACGTGTCATTCAGTCCTTTAAAATAATAAAGCAATTAAAAATTATTATAAGGTTATAATTATCAAGGGAAACTATTGTACAAATGATTTTCTTTTTAATTTATACTATGTTTTATAATATATATGAATTATTTACCGCCAGTAAAATGCTTTCCTTGTCCGGACAAGACAACCACTCTGCATTCCGAATTATTGCTCAATGAAGAGAAGCATTCATTTAATTCCCTGCAAATATACTATTAAAATTATTATATAATATAATGTTTGCAGTAGGCTTGTGCCTTTGGCATTGCTGAGGACTATGAGGCAAAATAGCTAACTCTCCAACATCAGGTAGGCAGTATGTATGCTCATCTACCTTTTTTTTATTGCTTTGATGGGTGGACGAGCTCACAGCCCACCTGGTGTTAAGTGGTTACTGGAGCACATAGACATCTACACTCACCTTGAGATATAAGTTCTAAGGTCTCAGTGCAGTTATAAAGGCAGTATAGCAATAAAAAAATGTTTATAATAATATTGAAGTAGCTTGGAAATTACCCACAAAATTGCTACTCCCAAGCACTCTCCGACTCTCCACTATGATAGTCCTGTATTACTGGTGGTAGGGCGTCTTGTTAACCTGTATGGTTAGATACTACTTATCTGCCTACATCTGACGTGAAATAGTATTGCGTTTCGGTTTGCAAGATGGGCAGATATTGTATCGTAAAACTGAGATTTAGAACTCATGTAATGACATGTCCTTCTTCAAACGAGACTTGTGGAGAGTATTAAACGGTAGGCAGCGGCTTAGCTCTGCCCCTGGCATTCCTGAGGTCCTTGAGCGACGGTAACCACTCACCATCAGGTGGGCCCTATGCACTTCTGCCTACATTGACAATAAAAAAAATCATGTCCCAAAGTAGGTAGTAATAGTAGCATTTTGGTTATATTTGTTTATGGGTTCCAGTACCAACTTAACACTCAATAGGCTGTGAGTTCATTCTCCCATAGAAGCAATAAAAAAATATTTCATCAGTAATGCTTTATCAAAAATTCTGTTTTAATTACTTCATATTTACCTCCACATGGCTTTATTAAAAGTGTTTAATTTCTTTGGCCTGTTTAATTCGACATGGAATACATGCTTCTTGGGAACAGTTATGGCTAATGTCTCGAACTGTGGAACACCTGTGCTTGTAGAGAAATGTCTCGGTTGTGCAACTGAAAGTAATAAAATCGAAACATTGAAATTATGTCTATTGCATAAAACTATTCGTTTCGGATATAATTTTTTAATGTATTACATTTTTTGAGATTTAAATTTGCTAAAGTACTTTTTATTTGTCAACAATTTGACACAAACCCTCAATATTAGCTTTGCGCTGTGACACTGAAACTACAATAAAATTTATTTAGCCGTTGAGACAAGGAATATTATAAAATATTAAAAAAATTTAAATTCACAAATTTTTGTATCAGCTTCCCTCTTTAGTATTTTAGTATAATATAAGACTTATTTTTTTAAACACAGTCTTAAGATAGTATTTTGTAGGAAGCCACATCATAATTGTGCTTTATCCATTGCTAGTGTCATCAGACACCCCTCAATACTTTGTCATCTGGTTTTCATCGGCCATTAACAAGAAACAACAAAGGTTGTACTGCACTATTGGTGATTGTCAGAAATTTCCTATAATACAGATTGAATGGAAATTGCAGTATAGTGTTGTCCACGAAATACAGAAAAAATATTTTTAAATATCTTTCAATAAAAGAGAATCAAATTTCTGTAATGGACAGTGAATAAGTAATTTTGATTTAATCTTTACAGCATACAATCATATTTTATTTAAAATGTTTTTGTGTATTCGGAAATGTAAATAAATGTAGAAAATAATAAAATGTAGATTTGTTTTGGCATATTAATTTTACAAAATACAAGTGATACCAATATTTAAGATTAAAACGGGCAATGGTTTATTGCAGTTACGGAAACGATTAGAATTAGTTGTTGTAGATTTAATTCCAACACTCTTGACATGTAATTTATCAAAGTTAATGTTTACTGCTGTTCTGAATATAATCTGTTTTTTTTATTAGTTTTGTTTTGTGTCCTGTTTTATTTTAAATATATTACCTCTTCTTAAAGAACTCGATGTCAGAAAAGCAAATGTTTTTATGAAACTTGTCATTTTGATTCAGCTACCTTTAAACTTCAATATAAAACAATTGCAATTTAAAATTTTCTGGGCAAAGTCCGAAATACAGCTGACTATAAAGCTCGAAAAAAAAACCTATAGCACTAACTGTTTTCTGTCATGTTCTTTTTTAAAGGATTTTATGACCTGGTAGCTAAAACCTTTAAGTCATGTCTTATTTTAATTTATATTTATATTTTTATGAAAAATGATATTATGGAGTGAAATGAAATGAAGATTATTAATTTGAGACATTAATCGACTGGGATGAAATTAGAAATGAAATGAGATGAGATGATATGGGATGAAATATAATCTCAGTAAAATGGTGGCCATTTACTAAGATTTTTTCAGTAGACTTTTTAGAGGACGCGTATGACGCGATGCGCCGGTGCTCGAATCCCGCAGACGAGTACCAATTTTTCTAATGAAATACGTTCTCAACAAATGTTCACGATTGACTTCCACGGTGAAGAAATAACATCGTGTAATAAAAACCAAACCCGCAAAATTATAATTTCCGTAATCACTGGTGGTAGGACCTCTTGGTAGGACCTCTTTGTGCGGACTGCACGGGTAGGTACCACCACCCCGCCTATTTCCGCCGTAAAGCAGTAATGCGTTTCGGTTCGAAGGGTGGGGTAGCCGTTGTAACTATAGTGAGACCTTAGAGCTTATATCTCGAGGTGGGTGGCGCATTTACGTTGTAGATGTCTATGGGCTCCAGTAACCACTTAACATCAGGTGGGCTGTGAGCTCGTCCATCCATCTAAGTAATAAAAAAAAAGGATCCCGAAAAGTTACGTCCAGCGGCTTTGTTTCATTTTCCCACATTTGTGCACTTTCACAGATATTAAACTGTTAATAAACCACCATTAATACACATTTAAACCCGAAGAAACACTAAATAGACAAAATAAAACAAATCACACAACTTCACTCCTCGCGTTCCCGCCAAAAAGTCCTCTGTCATGTTCGTTTTGACGTATTTGACAGCCAGATTATTTTAAATGAAGTATTGTAAGGATTGATATAATAGCCGGCAAACTTCTTGAGCATTTGTTGACGTAGTGGGGGTAAGTTCGCGCATGGTACACTCACGTGCAAAAACATTATTTTCTCTGCGTCATAATGCAATTAAATTATTAAAATCAACATATGTATTTATTTATATATTTATTAGAACATCAACAAAAAGTATAGGTTAATAATTGTAATAATTTAATCTTGGGGTAAAATAGATATTCCTTCTATTAAGTCAAAACTAGAGCTGTTGCCAGGTCTTGGTTCAGTTGAAGCGAAGCTGGTATTTGTATATTTTTTTCGTTATCATAATCTTGACCATCATCATCATCACTGTTTTCATCACCCGAGTCAACTCGGTCGGTTCGGTCTTCTTTTTTGTCTATAATTAATATTTTTTTTAAAAATATTCGATTCGTAGTAATCGAATATAACTTTTTTCAATTACCAGCTTCCGATTATTTTCTGTTTTTTTTTCTCCATCTGAAGCCTAGCTCTTTCATAATTCGTCATAAACTTCATTCCGAGCCATTCAAATTTATATCTTCTTTAAATTTTTCAAACCCTTTCTACGGTACGGAGTTTCGCTGCTTGTTATGTAATTATTATGATTACATCTTTTTATTACTGATTGAACGGAAATATCCATTCCGGTAACTTTCTTCTTCCCTGATCTTTTCTTACTCGGAGTCCGAAACACGGCGAGCAAGCCACAGCCTTTAGCTTCGTTAATAATGCACCTAACAGTACTCACTGATGTTTTTGTTGCTTCCGAAGTCTGTTTTACTTTTTCCATATCATTCTTCCCCTGTTTTATAATGAAGCAATATACGTCTTAGACACTTTTTCTACCCTTTCTTTTGAATACTACACCAGTTTGTCTTGGCATAGTGTATTTTTTAAAAAAATCAACAAACACTCAACTAATAGCAATGGCAACAAAGTCAACAAGCAATTATAACAAATAACTTAACGATTAATAACGATAGACTTTTCACTGTACGCAAGCGTACTTTTGGGAGCAAGCGGAACGAAGGCGCGGTGCGGGACGCAAGGTTCGACTGATCTACCAATAACGCGCTCGATACGATTTCCCCTGCCGTCGCGCCTCACCCTCACCACCANAAAAAAAAAAAAAAAAAAAAAAAAAAAAAAAAAAAAAAAGGTATGGTATAAGGTCGTATGCCGTTTTATGACTTCTATTGATCAAGTGGTTCCATGTATAAAGGCCTCCGTGTGAGTGACACGACTACGTGGTAGGCAGCGACTCTGCTCCTAGAATTGCTGATGTCCATGGGCGACGGTAACCACTCCCCATCAGGTAGGCCGTATGCTAAACAAGAAGAAGAAGATAACCTATTACGTTACCCTCGCCCGGTTACGCTGAAATGGCATCTCAAGACCATCAACTTAGGTAGGCAAAACACAATAACAAAAATTACGTTATTATTATTTCTATTACGAGCTTTTTTGTTTCCTACCTATGCTGATAGCCTTGACAGGCTATTTCAGCGTAACCTTAACTAGTTGGTGAGCTTACGGGGCTCAAACCTGACGACGTTGCTAACACGAACCCGAGCAAGAGCCGTGCTTCGCAGAATCTACCACCGGATCGGAAACACGACCCACTGAGAAGATCCGGCGAGAAACTCAGTGGGCTGTGTCTGGGGGTTAACTTAGTCGTCGAGCCCTTCACCCGATCGGGGGAATATTAACAGTAGTGACGTCGGTGGATTGAGAAATGAAAATGCTATAAGCAGATAGGAAAATGTCTGCCCACTCCAAGTACCTGATGTCGCAGGCGGTGACCAGGTCTACTCCGGCGCCGATACAGGCGTTGTGCACGACGGTCAACACTGGTTTGACGCAATCCTCCAAAGCCGTGATTCCGTCCTGATATTGACCCATTTAAAAAAAAAATTTTTAATTGCTTAGCCTGGTGGACGAGCTCACAGTCCACTTGGTGTTAAGTGGTTACTGGAGCCCATAGACTTCTACAACGTAAATGCGTCACCCATCTTGAAATATAAGTTCTAAGATCTCAGTACAGTTACAACAGCTGCCCCACCCTTCAAACCGAAACGCATTACTGCTTCACGGCAGAAATCGGCAGAGCGGTGGTACCTACCCGCGCGGACTCACAAGAGGTCTTACCACCAGTTTCTATGATGTTCTATGGGCTCGTATTTAAGGGTCACATTTGAGGGGGAAAGCAATACTGACAGATCATAAAAATGACTTTTTAATTGCCACCTGGTGCTAAGTGGTCACTGGACACTGGACACACTAAAAATAGACAGGATGGGGGTACTCATCTGTGAGGGCTGACAAGATGATGAAGATCTGTTATGTTTTTTTTTTGTCGTTGTAGACAGACGAAATACGGTAAGAGGTGATAAGTAATCAGCTTTGCTCACGGAGCAATCGCATGGGCACAACCAAACCGCTGCTAATCCCAAAACACCAGACAGTACTGAATTGCAATACAAACTTGTGCGTATTTAATGAAGTTGTAATGGTATCTGGCCTTCCTGGCCACGTCTGGAAGGTCCTCAGCCTCCGCCGCCATTTCCACGAGGCTGTTTATTTCTATACCTGTAAAAATATGGAAATAGTCGATATTGAAGTCGTCTTGGCCTAAAGGATAAGACGACCGGTGCATTTGTATGTAGCGATGTACCGGTGTTCGAATCCCGCAGGCGGGTACTAATTTTTCCAATGAAATATGTACCTAACAAATGTTCACGATTGACTTCCACGGTGAAGGAATAACATCGTGTAATAAAAATGAAAACCGCAAAATTATAATTTGCGTAATTACTGGTGGACGTCTTGTGAGTTTGCACGGGTAGGTACCACCGCCCTCCCTATTTCTGCCGTGAAGCAGTAATGCGTTTCGGTTTGAAGGATGGGGCAGCCGTTGTAACTATACTGAAACCTTAGAACTCATATCTCAAGATGGGTGGCGGCATTTACATTGTAGATATTTACCTATGGTCTCTAGTAACTACTTAACACCAGGTGAGCTGTACGCTCGTCACCCATTTAAGCAATAAAAATAAAATAAACTAAATGTTAAATGTTAAGTTGTTTGTTAGGGTTTTATATTTTCTATACATATCGCATGACCTGTCAGTCAGTCTTTTAAAATAATAAAGCAAATAAAAATTATTACAAGGTTATAATTATCAAGGGAAACTATTGTACAGATGTTTTTCGTTTTAATTTATAGTATGTTTTATAATATATATGAATTATTTACCGCCAGTAAAATGCTTTCCTTGTCCGGACAAGACAACCACTCTGCATTCCGAATTATTGCTCAACGAAGAGAAGCATTCATTTAATTCCCTGCAAATATACTATTAAAATTATTATATAATATAATGTTTGCAGTAGGTAGCGGCTTGTGCCTTTGGCATTGCTGAGGACTTAGAGGCAAAATAACTAACATCAGGTGGGCCGTATGCACTTCTGCCTACATTGGAAATTAAAAAAATCGTGTCTCAAAGTAGGTAGTAGTAGTGGCGTTTTTGTTATTTTTGTTTATGGGTTCCAGTATCAATTTAACACTCAATAGGCTGTGAGTTCATTCTCCCATAGAAGCAATAAAAAAAATATTTTGTTAATAATGCTTTAACAAAAATTCTGTTTTAATTAGTCCATATTTACCTCCACATGGCTTTATTAAAAGTGTTCAATTTCTTTGGCCTGTTCAATTCGACATGGAACACATGTTTTTTGGGCACAGTTATGGCTAATGTCTCGAACTGCGGAACACCTGTGCTCGTCGAGAAATGTCTCGGTACTGCAACTGAAAGTAATAAAATCGAAACATTGAAATTTATGTCTATTGCATAAAACTATTCATTTCGGATATCATTTTTTAATGTATTACATTTTTTGAGATTTAAATTTGTTAAAGTACTTTTTATTTATCAAAAATTTGACAGAAACCCTCAATATTAGCTTTGCACTGTGACACTGAAACTACAATAAAATTTATTTAGCCGTTGAGACAAGGAATATTATAA